AAACACTAAAACTACAACTTCAGCAAAGCCCAAGATCTGGAAACCTTATTAGTCTTGAGCTCAGAAGCCTCAGATCCTTGCTTATCTCCTTCCATTCTTCTATACCTCCACATACACATCTGCCTGCCACTTTGTATATAAAAACTCTAACAGGTAAGGAGTAGTATCTCCATTTTGCAGCTGAGGAATTTGAGGGAGTAGCGGACTGCTCAAGAATGGAAGCAGAACCAGAAGTTCAAGCCCAGGACTGTGTGACCCAATGCTAGTATTCTTTCTGCCATGTTTCCTTGCCTGGTTCCTATTCAGAATTCTTTGAATTTAGTTACTCTGTCTCATGAGGCAGCAGAAAAATTCTTTTGTTTGAAAATAATTATGGAATAATTTTTTTAGGAAAAAGAGGACCTTGTCCTGTGGGGTGTCTTAACTTCCTGTATTGCCCAAACACTGATCTGTAGTGAAGATACCACCTGTTTCAAGAAGTTTGGAGCCTGGGTGGGGTGGTTATATAGAGCTTGACTTGGTCAGTTGGAAGTGGCTGGGATTGGAATTATACCTTGCCTACTTAGCAGAGTCCAGGCTAGGGGGGAAATATCTAGCCAATGGAGGAGACTGTATTATTATCTAACTACCCAATCCAAAGAGATGCATATAATTCAACCATATGGTAGAATCAGCAAGAGGAACTCCCAGAAGTTTCTGGCATTCTTCAAACATTCCATACTCTAGCACACAACCATGCCTTTGCATATACCCTCTGCTTAGAATTCCCTTCCTGCCTTGTCCACTCAGTGTATCTAGCCCTGTGAAGATCATTACAATGTCATCTTCACTATGAAGCCAGCCATTCCCTCTGTGTAGAATATACTGTACTGTATGTATGTGAAAAATTTGTTAACTTACCTGCTTCCCATGTGAATCGTATGAACTGATCTCCATTTTTTGAAGTATGATTTTGCTGTATATAGAATTTTTGGTTTACAGGGCTTCTTTCCTTCCTTCTTTCCTTCCCTCTCACCATCTCTCCCTCCCCTCCTTCCTCCTTCCCTCCTTCTCTCTCCTGGAAGTCCTGGTTTCTAATGAGAAATTGGCTGTCAGTCTTACCCGAGGATTTCTTTTGCTTTTGTCAGTTTGGCTATACTGCATCTTAAGGTGGAGATCTTGACTTTATCCTGACTGGAGATACATGGTAGCTTGAAAATGTACAGATTGAAGTCTTCCATCAGATTTGGGAAGTTTTTGTCCATTTTATCAAGTGCTCTTTCTGCTCCTATCTCGTCTATCTTGGACTTACATTACTCATGTTGGTATGTTCTATTAAGCATATACAGCCACACTGGGGTAGTATCTCACAGTCTCTTGGGCTCTATAGATTTTCTTTTTCCTTTTTTTCTTTTGATCCTCAGACTGGATAAATTCAATTACCTTATCTTCAGGTTCACTGACTTTTTTTTTTGCCTGTTTAAATGTGATATTTACTACAGAACCCCTGTGGTACATTTTCCATTTCTGTTATTGTACTTTTCAGCTGCAAAATTTGTTTGCTTTCTTTTTATCATTTCAGTCTCTATTGGTATTCTTTGTTGAGACATTGTTAATTAAGGCAGTTTTTGCTTAGTTTTTCTGTTTCTAAAGAGGCACGGACTCCCAGAGCTCTATGCTCTGCCAGTTTTGCTTTATGTACTTTTTTTTTGGTACCGGGGATGGAACTCGGTGCTTTATGTACTTTTAGTAAATAAAATTAATCATGACAAATCAGAAAATAAAATTAATGCTATGAATAGGACATCCAAATAATAACATCAGAGTTGTAAAGAAGCGAATTTAGAACACATCAAACAATTTGCTTTGTATAGATTAATTTGAGCCTTCTAAGTGATTTAAACCAAATCATTCCTTTAGCAAGAATACTTATTTTTAAGTGCCAGATTAAAAATTAAAATAATTTCTTTCAAATGTTTGATTCCAGCATATTTTCTGTATACTCAGTATCATCTTTTATTTGAGCTTTGTTATAATTAGTAGGATTATGAGCTTCAGGAAATGTTAAGTGGGTAAGACTTGATGTTCATTTATACAAAAGTAGCTATCAGATGGACTAACAGAATTTGGCTTACTTTCTTATGTTAGTAATCTACATGTTGCTGTGTAACAAGTCACCCTAAAACTTGGTGGTTTGAAACAACAAAAATTTATTATCTAACCAGCATCTGTAGATCAGTAATTTGGGAGCACCATAGCTTTGTGGTTCTGGCCTAGAATACCTCATGAAGTTGCTTTCAGGCTGCGGTCATAATGTAACCTTGCTTGGGCTGGAGAATTTGCTTCTGAGAATTTGCTCACATGGTTGAGGGTAGAAAGACTTTCTTACCAACTAGTGGACCTCTCCATGGAGCATCCTCACAGTTCTTGTGACATAGCAACTGCCTGCTCCAGAGGTATGATCCATGATAGAGCAAGGAGGAAATCACAACCCTTTTTATGACATAGGCATACATTGTCATTTCTACCGTGAGCTTTTTGGTATAAACAAAGTACCAAGCACTAAGCACATTCACAATCAAGGGGAATGGCCACCAGTCTCTACCTATGGAACAAGTATCAAACCTTATTACTGACTGATCAGCTGGAGTAAGCAATGGAAAAGACTTAGAATACCTCTTGACAGTGGCTTCCTAAAACTTCATTAAATTGTTAATGATTTCCTCAGGAAGGGAACAATTTGATATTTTAAAGACTAAGACCTCTATTAAAATTTGATCTATTTGCAAATGAAAACAATGCTGAGATTTCTATCTCATTCCAGAAAGAATGGCTGTTGTCAAGAAATCAGCCAATAACAAATGCTGCCAGGACTGTGGGGAAAAAGGAACCCTTTTCCACTGTTGGTGGGAGTGTAGACTGATTCAACCACTGTGGAAACCAGTGTAGAGATTCCTCAAAAAATTAAAACCGGAGATTCCATCTGACCCACCTATTCCCCTTCTTAATATCTTCCCAAAAGAATTAAAAGCATGATACCACAGCAATATAAGTGCACCCATGTTTATAGCAGCTTTAGTTTGTAATAGCTAAATCTTGGAAATAGCCCAAATGCCCATCAACCAGTGATTAGATAAAGAAGATGTTCTTTTATAAAATGAAGTATTATGTAGCCATAAAGAATGATAAACTAGAGTTATTTATAGCTAAGTGGATTCACCTTGAGACCATACTCTTTAAAGTGGAATAAATAGGACATGTGTGTATAAATACTAAATTGTTTTTCTGATGTGAGAAATTGTAAATGAAGACTAAAATATATATTAGCTATTGGGAAATAGGAAGAAAATGTTCAAAGAGGAGGGGGAACTAAGGAGGTGGGTGGGAGAAAGGAAAGAAAAAATGAGAAAAGAAAGAAAGAATGTAAACAAAACTGTAAATAGGGAGTGGTGGAAGGGAGGGAAGGGGAATAGGAAAAAAATAAGAACTAAGATATATCATGTACAGGTACAAGTTCCCTAAGATGATTGTGACCATAATGTTCACCTAAATTGTACCAATAAACTCAATGAATTAAAAAAATTGTTTTGATCTATTGAGATATGTACTTAAACACATCATTGTTTTCCTCATTCCATTTAGGAAATCTTAAAATTCATATATTTGAAGGTAATAACTAAATCAAATTTAAAAGTCCTAGAGTCAAAGCGATTCAAAAGAGCTGGCCTGTAACTATGTGGAAGCACAAAAGCATTATATGAGAAAAATTCATGTTTAAATCTGAACAGTTCTTTCTTATAGGCAGTGTAAAATGCAAATTATAGGTTGTAGGGGAGAATTATATCAATTTAATTAGGTTGGTCAGTATTCATAAGTTAGTGTGTGCCCTACATTTTGTAGTATCGGGCCGGGGATTTAGCTCAGTGGTTACACTGCCTGTCTTGAAAGTGCAGGGACCCAAGTTTGATCCCTGGTACTAAAAAAAAGGAGATGATACATTTTGTAGTATCTTAGATTGGGGGATTTGCTAACAGTCTGTATTTGTGGGTTTTGTCCTGCCTAGACATGTAATATACTATGTCCTATAGATTTTTTTTTTTTGTATTCTTATTATTTTCCCATGAAGTGGCACCATTTACTCTGTAGTCATGCCTTTGTGGATTAGCCTATTCTTTTACTGCCTCTGTGAACTTGGACAGGTGTTTAACCTTCCTGGACATTGGATTTGCAACTATAAGATATGATTGCATTGTTCCTCACTTTGATCTTGTAGGAGAAAGAAAGATTTTCAGTAATGATTGTAAGTAATTTTATTAAGTAGTGTGGGGTGAGGACATAGGAACATATCAGTGACCTTCATTGGTTGAACACTACTATACTATAAAATGTAATGAGGCAGTGAGATGCTTGCAGCACTATATAGAATCCCTCAAGTGCAACAGCTACAAATACAAATTTAAAAAGAATTGTTTTCACATTGCTAATATTTTAAAATATTTAAAAGAATTACAAATAATTCTTGATAAAATTCTGAACAGAAGTTAAATACAAAGTTGATTTATATAGAAGTTACAGTTTTAGATATACTCATTTTGTCTTAACATGGCAAGAAAAAAGACTTGATGTTTATATGTAACAAGGCTTGAGTTCTAGGTCAGTATAATTAAAGGTAGTTTTTTTTTTTTAACCTACTTTTATATCCACTTGAAAATTTGAAAGTCTACTCTTCATTGTTGTGTGGGATTTTCTGCATTGCAGTGACTTACAATCCTGATATCAACATCATATTACATGTTTTGATAATTAAACATTCCCTCCAATTTAAAAAAAGTCCCCAGACTACCACTCTTGTTGAGAACTATTGGTCTTACATGTGTGAAAGGTAAGAAAATTATGTACTAGAGTAAGAAATGATTACTTGAACCATTTATAATTATACACTCAATAAATTTAATTTAAATGGTTAATTTGAGGCTTTTAAAATTAAGATGGCTGTATTGACATATTTTTATTTTTCCTAGTAAAATGAATGAAAATAAACCTGGTGACTCACAGAACCTTGGTAAGTAACTGTATTTACAATATTTAAAAGATAGTAAATTTTTAGAATGCTGCCCATCCACTAGGAATGAACTTTCTAATTCATCTGAGTTCTGCATACTAAAGTATATTAAATATATTTATTTCTGTAGATGAATCTATTTGCTAAATTTTATTTGTATTCTGTATATATATTTATCTGTCTGAATAAAATATTTAATAAGTAAAATTTTTTCACTTTTTGTTTTTGGGTTTTTTTAAGACAAGGTCTTCCTATGTAGTTTAGGTTGGCCTTGAACTAACTATGAAATCCAGGCTGGCCTTAAACTCAGAGCAGTCCTTCTGCCTCAGCCTCCTGAGGGTTGGGATTACGTGCTTGCACCACCACACCCAGAGATTTTTTCTCACCTTTTTGCATGGCTTTTCCTTACCAAATGAAAAATGCAAGCAGGAACAATTTAATAACAATAATTTAGCATGAAAAGGAAATTTTACCTCTAAAGTCTTCACAAAAATATTTTCAAATAGATGCAGTCCTTTTAACAAAGGTGTTTGGTTGCTGTTTTCTTTATTATTTGCAGTATCTGTTTACTTGCTACCATAAAGGATGAGAAATCTAAATTGTTAATTTGTATTCTTCTGACATTAACACAATTTTTTAGATTTAAAAAAAATTCCTGATGAAAATATTATACTTAAAATTCTGTATTTTATCCATCACTCTGAGAATATCTGTTGACTCCGCCTCATTTTGGATATTTGCTCATAAACCTCCTCCTTTCTTTTCTTCTATCTATAGACATCTATCAGCTATGCTAATAGTTTTGAAATTTTGCAGTATCTGCGTTTTGGAGGATCTTAAATTGGATGATATGCTGCAGTCTTTACGTGTGGGTTTAGTCCTTGTGTTGATATTTAATATTGTAATCTGAAATTTTTTTGGTACTCTCATCATTTCCAAGTGAATTGGCACAGTATATTCTGCAGTCACTTCTCTATAGGCTAGTCTATTCCTATTTACTAATTCTGTGAACTTGGGCAGGTGACCATGCTAATAGTTCTGAATTTTTAGTAATTTGTGTAGTACCAAAATGCATTTGTCAAGTGGAAATATATCCCTGAACCCTTTACTTACTTGCTTTTTTCTAAGACTAACTCCATTTTTCATTTGTATGAATGTGTTTAAGTGGAAACTTTAATTACAAAAACCAAGATTATTTGCTACAGTAGCAGGTGATCTTAAACGTTAAAATTTTTTTAAATATCAGTGTACAAATAAATACAAAAGTAAGATGGTCCAATATGAACAAATGACAGATTGCTAGTGTTGATGTATTTGGACAGGTCCTTTGTGTGGAGAAAGAGGGGAAGCTAAAATCTCTTAAAAGGTTAGGGGTTAGAACCTTTAAGTTATAACTTATCTCATTCAACTGGAGTAAGGGAGAAGTCAGTATAGTAAGGATGTTTGTCCTGTTTCTTTCCGGTTCTGGAATCTATTTTGTGAGCAGCCTGTTAATAAATAGTTCTTTTCAGCACATAACATCCATTCTTAATTACATGTGTTAGTCAAGGTAAATACCACTCACTGCTATAATAGGTATAATCTGAAGTCCTAATGGTTTGACGCAATAAAAGTTTATTACTTTGTCAAGTTAGAATCTAGTGTGGATTGATTAGGGAAGATGAGGCCTACGGAGTTTTTGCTTCATGAAGTCATTTTGAGATTCGTGTACCCTCCATCTTGTGTGTATCTGCTGCCTTGAGATGCTCAGGATCCTTTTGCTTTAGTAGTTAGTAAGAGTTTCCTTGTTTTATTAGCATATTAATAAAAATTTCTAAATTACATATAACATAAGAAAAACATAAGACAGAAAAGATTAGTAACTATAATACTAAGACTCACTCACTTCCATGTCATACCTTGTTAATTATATTAATGTGTATTGTCATTTAATCTTCATCAAGACATAGTTTGAGATAGATATTGTTGTCCTTATTTCTAAGTTGAAGAAACAGAGTCACAAAACACCGTAGTGAAATAAACCGGGCACACAAAGATAATACAGTATGATCTCGCTTTGATATGGAATCTAAAAGAGTAGAACTCAACAAAGCAGAGAATAGAATGGTGGTTAGACTTGGGAGCAGGGTGGATATTGGCAAGATGCTTCTCAGAGGATACAAAATTTAAGTTAGACAAAGGGAGTAAGTTCAAAAAGTCTGTTGTAAGTGTTCTCACCACAAATACATGGTGAGTATGTGAACTAGTACATTTGATAGCCATTCTGAAATATATACATTATTTCAAAACATCGCTATATGTCATAAATACATAAATGGAGAAAAAAAGATTACGGAGCAAAGTCTTAACTCAGTTCTCCCTGACTCCACAATGTGTGTGTGTGTGTGTGTGTGTTAAAATACACATAACAAAATTTACCATTTTAACTACTTTTGAATGTATAGTTTCTTCACAGCTGTGAAACCTTCACCACTGTCTTCTTAAACATTTTTAGTGTCTCAGAGGAAACTATTCATTAGGTGGTCACTTCTCATTTTTCCTGTTCCCAGCTACTGGCTACCAGTAATCTGCTTTTTGTCTGTCTCAGAAGATCTACCTGTTCTGGATAATGTAATCCATAATGTAAATGATAGCGCATAATATGTAACCTTGATTTCTTTCATTTAGCATAATGTTTTGTGGCTTATCTGTTTTATTGCATTTATTAGTACCTTATCCCTTTTTATTGCTGAATAATTTATTGTACAGAATACCGTATTTTGTTTATCTACTTCATGGATTTTGATTTGTTTCCATTTTGTGTGAAAAGTGCTGCTGTGAATATTAATGTGCAAGTATTTGCTTGAATGTTTGTTTCTAGTTTTTTGGTTTATAAATCAAGGAAGAGAATTGCTGTGTCTTCTTCAGGGGTGTGAAGTAGTTATCTCATGGATTTGATTTGCAATTCTTTGTTGACTATGACTAATGAAGCATCTTTTAATGTCCTTAGTGGCTTTTGTATATCATCTTTGGAGAATGAGAAATATCAAGATTCTTTTTCCATCTACAATGGGTAGTTTTGGGTTTCTGTTATTGAGATGTAAGAATATCTTATGCATTTTGGATACTAGACCTTTATCAGATACGTAATTTCCACATATTTTCTTCTATTTTAGAGTGAAGTTTGAAATCTTAATTTATCTGTTTTTTGTTTAGGTACTTTTTTTGGTGTCTGTGAATTGTAATGAACTATTGCTAAATTCAAGGTTATGAAGATTTACCCCTATACTTCTAAGTGTTTCATGGTTTTACATTTAGGTACTTTACCGGTGTTGATCTTTAGATATGGTGTGAAGTAGAGGGTCAACTTTATACTTGTGCATCTTGTTATCCAGTTGTCCCAGTACTATGTATTGAAGACACTTTTTCCTCCATCAGCAGCCTTGTCAAAAATAAATTGACTATGATGTAAAATTTTATTTCTGCACTTGATCTTAGCCAAAAGGCCGAGAAGCAATAAAAATTTTATTTTTGGATCCTCCTTTTTATTGATTTATATATCCCTGTGCCATATTGTTTTGATCACTGTAGTTTTATTGTAAGTTTTTAGTCTTTTTCTCAATCTAGCTAAAATTTGTAGATTTTGTTGTTTTCAAAGAACCAATTTTTGTTTTTATTGATTGTTTTTATCTGTTCTAATCTTTTCTTTCTTCCTTGCTTTTGCTAGCTTTGGGTTTAGTTTCCTCCTTTTTCCAGTTCTTTAAGATGTAAAATTAGGTTATCAATTAGATCTTTTTTAATATAGGCTTGCACAAACTAAATATTAAGTAGAGGTTTCTCAGTCTTTTCTGAGCATGCATACATCCACAGGTATCCACATGGCCCTCTGGATTCTTTAGTATATTTGGAGTTTTTCAAAGCACTTATTTCCTTCACCATCTATCCCTTTCTCCCAGCCTCTTCTTTCCTGTGCTTCTTAATCTGTCAGCTGCTTGAAGCTGTCTGTTGTCCTTTACTGTAGAATGTTAGACTAGTATATTGTTTTAACCCTGAAAAAGTTCCCAGCCAAGCAAGACAAAGGCAAGCAAGTGAATCCACCCCTCAGGGTGTTGTCACACAGATTGAAACAATCACTTTTTTGGGGCAACAGGCTCCATATATTATCTCCTCTTGGACCTGCAGTCTGTACAAGAAACATGGGCTACCCAAGGCCACTGCTTAGCTTGTGAGTGGGGAATAGTAAGTTAAAATATTCTCATTAGAATTTAGCAGCTTATTTCTCCATTGAGCTATGGAGAAATATTCCAGGGCTTCTAAAAAGTTAATTCTGAGTTTTTGGCAGCTCAATCATTGCTTTAGTAGAATGTAGTAGATTGGGAGTTTCCTAATTCAGTATTTTCAGTGATGTTACCCCTACAATTGCCATTTTAGCCATATACTGGAATTTATCACTGAAGACTGGTGAAAAATAATAAAGTTACATTAATGTAGTATTAGAAATAGATATTGGAAATGTAAAATTACTGATAGTAATCAAATGTGATTTCCTCTTTTAGAAAGAATTTTAATTGAAAAGCAGCAATTACATAATTATTTTGAAATTTTAAAATATATTTTATATCTACTTTTTCACTGTTAGCTTGTGTTTTTTGTCGAAAAAACGATGACTGTGCTATTAAATATGGAGAAAAGAAAACTAATGAGAAATGGAATCTCACTGTACATTACTATTGTTTGGTGAGTATAATTTGTAATTAAATTCTAGAAATTTGATCTCTATAAAGAATTAAATGCTGATACTGGTTTCTCATAATTGGATAAATCATTTAACTTTTTTGGATTTTGTTTTGCCTGTGTGTAAAAAAAATAAGATTTTTTTTCTTTTGTATATCTAATTCTAAGCTTCTGAAATTACTTGGTAAATACAAAGATCTATCAGCATTACCTGACTGCTTTTGTCTAATTGCAAAAAAAGGGGACTAAACTGGTTCTATAAGGGAAGTGTTCTGTTTAACACTGTTTTCTTTCCTTTGTTGCTATTGATTAATCTCTGAAAAGACTTGTTTGAAGGTTCAGGGAGTAAAAGAAAGTGTTTTATTGCACAGAGAACTTGGAAGAAAAAGTTCTGGCTAAAAGTAATTCACATTAATAGAAAAGAATAAGGTTAAGGTATGGGTCACTCAGATGAAAGCAAGAGTGATTTGATCCTGAGCGTCAGTCCCTCATTTGTTGCCTCTTGCTTTAAAGACCTTTTCATTCCACGTGAATCTATCTGAGCCTTAATAGTGGCATCATTAATACCTTAGCATACCAAGATTGTACTAATACATTATTTATTTGTACTTAATTTTTCTTTTTCTGCTTAAATTATTCTGAAACTTAGTAGGTTAAACTAACATTTATTATCTCATGTAATTTCTTAGGGTCACAATTCTTATTTCAGCTACACTGGATGGTTCTGGCTCAGAGGCTTCAGAGATTATAGTCAAGGTGTCAGCCCATCTGAAAATTTTACTAGGCTGAAGAATCCTTCTCCAAAGGCTCTTGGTTTTTAGCTACAGTTTCTCCTAGCAATTGGCAAGGGGCCTCAGCTTTTTACCTTCTAGGCCTCCCAATAGAGATCCTCACAGTATGTTAGCTGGCTTTCCCCAAAGCAAATAATAAGAGAGGGTGAATTTATTAGTAAATCTTCAGAGCCACACACCACCTTCACTTTTGCTTTATTTGTTAGAGGCAAGACTAGCCTACACTCAAGGGGAGGGTTCACGCCACCTCTTAAAGGAAGTAGAAGTAACACATGTTTTGAAGGACATGTTTTGAAGCTCACTATCATCCAAATTAAGTTTTTCAGTGCTTCCTTGAGAAACTGTCTAAAGTATTCCTTTGTGGTTTTCTGTCTCTCAGGTACTCTGTGGGTTAAATGTACTGGTAGACTGGTCTAGGAATTCCTTAATACTCTCTTTATTTTATTTATGAATATAATCCTTTAAAAAAAAAAGTACTGGCCCCAGACTCTCCTATTTTAAGGTTCTGTTTCATTATGAACAGCAAAATATTGTAATGAATGTTACAAGTGGTAATATAATGATAGAGCTGAAAGAGACTTAGAGGCAATCTGCTCCAATATTCTTATTTTCATGTGTAAGGTCAATGACATAATAACTTGTTTAGAGTTCCAGAAGTTTATGCACTTGTTAGCAAGCTGGATTTCTTATTCACATTCCACACTTTTTCTTAATTCATGTTTCCTTAGCATATTTCAACTATTAAGTTAAAATGAGATTTTTTTAAAAGCCGAACACATATAAACTGTGACTCAGTATGTGTCCCTTTAAAAATTCCTTTAATGATTGAGAATTCAGATAGATTTAAAGTTAGCCTAAAATAGTATTTGTTATTACATTCACAACCATCCATATTTCCTGTTCCTTTTTTCTGAAGCGTAATTTTATATATTCTTTCCCTTTTTTCCTCCTTCCCAATCACCTATGTACTACCTTCCCACCTTTCTCAATTTCTGTTACTTCCTAAAATAGTTTTAGAATCTAGTTTGGTATATGAGCTGTTAATATGCAGTGTCTTCCAAATCAAAGGACATGAATAGTCTTATTTCGACCATGAAAAATGATTATTATAGATAGGTGCTTGGAAATTTGAGTTGTTTTATTGGAGTGAATATTTAAAATCCAAACTAGTTTCCTAGAATTTATTTTCTAATTGAGAATATATTTATAGTTGATGTCAAGTGGAATTTGGCAGAGAGGTAAAGAAGAAGAAGGAGTTTATGGTTTTCTCATAGAAGACATCAGGAAGGAAGTGAGTAGAGCCTCTAAACTGGTAAGTATATTGTTTTACTCATACTGTATTCCATAAATGTCAGTACTTGAGAAGTCTTTTGTAGTTTCTGCACAAGAAATTTATGGCTTTAGTTTTATGTTCTAATGTGTATTTTTGTCAAATATGGTACGTTTTAGTACAACATTTTGTATTTTTTTTTTTTTGCAAATGCAAGCTTAACTGATCTTGCTTAAACATGTAACAGTAGTGATTACTTTATCTTATTCACCCTATCCATCATTTCACCCACTCTTACATCAGATAACAACCATAGTTCCACTCCTCTAATCAGCAAACCGTTAATCTTGAATCAAGCCAGCCATTTACTTTTTAAATTCTTATACCTCTACTACTAAGGTTGGAACAATAGGTTGAGGTAGAAATTAACCAAATGTGATTTTATGATTTCCATGACTCTTAGGACCCTTCTGTGACATTTTCCACTTGTGTTTAGTGCTTTCCTGTTCTCCATGACAGATATGCTAAACTTGAATCTCTTGTTCATTCAGTTATTATTTATGCTTTCCTGTATGATTGATTTATATGCTAGGTACTACAAGGAAAGGACTCTAGGTCTCCATATAGTCTGAGTAGAAATAGTAATAGAAAATGAGAAAATTGAAAATTTGGGGAATTCTGTTTAGAGAATGTCATACTAGAATTGATTTCTGTGGTGGAGCATTTTGGGTGATGAAGAAATTCATCATAACATTGAAGTGGAAATAAAGGGCTTTGACAAATTATACTTGAGAAAGTCATAAAAGTTGTTTTATAAGTGGAGTTATTTAGAATGTTAGCAAGAATTAAAATATAGAGAAAGCCTATGATTCAAGGGCCAAAGTCTTGAGGTAGAAGACTGATTAGGAGGTTATGAGGTAATAGAAGAATAGATGTCATTAGATTACTAGAATTTTTTTTTTAAGTATAAAGATAGAATAGTGTCCTAAAATCTCCCATCAGGGAACTAAAATAATACTGTTTGTTCCCCTTCCTGCTCTTGTGTATGTCCTACTCGAACCCTGTGCCAAATCTGGAAATTAAGGAGGATGTGAAAACAAGCTTCACTCAAGAAAGTTTACAAAGTAAACATAAAAACTTTTATTTAGATAAGGCAAAGGAGTATAGGCAATTTCTTTTCTTTTTTCTTTTTTTTTTTTTTGGTACCAGGGATCGAACTCGGGTCCTTGCGCTTGTGGTACAGGTGGCAGAACCATTGAGCTAAATCCCTGGCCCCTGTTATTTTTTAAGATGTTGAGGGACCATGATAGTTGATCATAAAATAGAGGCTCTGAGGCACAAAAGAAAACCCTAGTTGAAAGGACCATTTAAGGGCCAATCTTAAGACCATGTGAGGATACTAGCATCAAAAGTTCTTAATCTACTAATGATAGATCAGTTTGTGGTGAAGGGTGATCTCTGGACTACTTTTGATGGTTTGGAGCTATCCATTTCTTAAAACATTGGAGTCTTCACTGAGTACACTGTGAACCTTTGAGACAACCTCAATTCTGAAGAAGAGTTCTCATTTTTTACATTAAACTAGAATTCCTTTGTGTTAGTTCACTGGGAGAGTGTCAGATTGGTCAAAAGTTTTCCTATTACTTGGCTGGTGGTAGTTGAGACATTAGCAATAAACCTGTAATCCTGAATCAGTGACTGGTATAATAGCCATTTAAGGGTTCCATTGTGTTTAAGGTACACTCTATATTTTTCTAATGATTGACTATCACAGTCTTTCTGTTTAGGTACCACTGTTATGTTTCAGTTAATGGCAGTTACAGTATTTGTTTCCTAGGTCTGTCATTACAAATTATAGAAATTTACTCTCTCAATACTGGAAGCCAGAGTCCTAACTCAAGTTATCAGAAGGGTTGACTTCTTTTAGAGCCTCTAAGACAGAATTTTTTCTATCCGTCTCTTCTAGCTTTTTGTGGCTGCCGGCAACCTTTGGTATCCTTGGTTTGTGGTAACATAACTGCAAACTCTGCTTCCATCTTCAGTGGCCTTTCTTTCTGTGTATCTTAAATCTTGCCTCTCCTTTCTTGTAAAGACATCAGTCATACAAATTGGTTTTTATTATTGTTTTCCTGTTCTTGGTGAATAGTTCCTAAATTTTGTGCTTTCTGTTTAAATTTAAATGCAGCTTTCATGTATAGATATTGTGTGTATAAACTCTTCAGTTTAACATATTTTAGCAGATAGGAATGAAAAGGGACTTCTTATAGCAATGAATTGTTGAGGCTTTAGATGGTTTCTGAGTAGAATAGGTTTTTTAGGAAATTTCTTTAATGTAGTGTCATCACAACTATTATAATGGAAATAATTTTCAGTTTCCTCACAAGTAAATTTGTTAATGCCTTGATCATAGTAGTCAAGTTTTTTATGATGTGGCCCTGTTTTCATATTTTCTTGTAGAAATGCTCTGTTTGCAAGAAAAATGGTGCTTCTATTGGATGTGTAGCACCTCGATGTAAACGAAGTTACCATTTCCCATGTGGACTTCAAAGAGAGTGTATTTTCCAGTTTACTGGCAATTTTGCGTGAGTTATAACTGTGAAATATGAATGTTAAAGAACAATGGCAAATGGATATCTCAAAGATATAATTTCCCTGTTACATTACTTTTTAAAGTTCCACTGGGTTTATATATCTACATTACTGAAGTTTATACATATACACTAGATATGACATATTTTTCACCATGGAGTTATTTCTGCCTACTAATTGAATTGAGAATTGCAATGTCTAGAATAGGCTTAATGATTATAATATTAACCTTCAACTTTCAGCTCTGGCCTATAACATTGAACTGTTAATTTATATTCAGTGAAAATTTCTACCTCACACTATTCTGGATTTTTATGTCATTGTTAAGAATTGATAATGCACTTTCCTGTCTTGGAGCAATATGTATTTCTCACTGAAGGCATATAAATTTGCTTTAATCCAAAAAATAAATATTATATTGTCTTAGTTATTTTTCTTTTTTTTTTTGTATATCCTTTTATTGGTACATTTTAGGTGTACAATATAATGACATTCATCATTGAAGATATGCACCTTTTCATACTCTCTTGGTTCTTATTTTTTCCCCTTCCCCTGCCCTCCCTTCAACCCCTCCATCCCTCCCTATTTACAAAGACTTTGTTTCCATTTTTTCATTTTCTCATATTAATTCCATTCCCTTCTTTCCTTTCCCCTACCCCTCCCACTTCTCCCTCCCCTTTGCCCCTTTTCTTCCTATTTCACATTATCTGTTATACCTTTTAGTCCTTATTTACACTTTCATTTTCTCACATTAGAGAAACTATTCGGTATTTACACATGTGTGTCCTATTTATTTCACTTAAGAGTATTGCCTTGACGCCTGACGTTAGAAAGAATAACGGTTTATTTCAGCTCTCAGTTTATAGAGGTTTCAGTCTATAATCGGCCCAGGATGGGCCTTCCCATTATCCACTGCCAGAACTATGCCAGATCAATCAGTGGACTAATTTAGTAATCGCATACCCTTAATACCAGCATCACACACTGTAGATCCAGCAACTTCTGAAAAACCCCACTAATGACCACATGAGACTTCTGGGGGACATCTAGACACAAGCCCCATAAGATATACCATGGGATACCTTGAAAGTATTTGTTTCGTGAGTACAGCTTCAGACATGAATTTTGGTATTTGATGCCGTGAGTGTTCCATTTCTTTAAGTCCTTGTATTTTGACCTGACAATGGATTGTTACTATGTAAGAAAACTACAAATTAGAAAAATGTAAATTAGTACAAATACAATGAACATCAGTATGGAGGTTCCTCAGAAAACTAAAATTAAAGCTACCATTTCATCCACTTATACCAGTCCTTGGTATATTGGGGCACAACCTGCAATAACAAAGATATGGAACCATCATAGGTACCCATTAACAGATGAATGAATTTAAAAAGTATACAGTATTATCTAGCCATAAAGAACAAAATTCTGACATTTGCAGAAAAATGGATGGATCTAGAGATTATTATGTTGAGCAAAAGAAGCCAGATTTAGAAAGACAGATATCGCTTATTTTCCCTAATATGTGGAATCTTTAAAAAATGACAAACTAGAAAGGAGATTATTATTAAAAGAGAGGAAGGGAATAAGAGGCAGGTATGGATACCACCATAAGATGTTAAGCACATTGAAATCCCCTCTGGAAATGTGAAACTTGGGGAGGGTGGGCCAAGGAGTGTGATGGGGGGTGAAAATGATCAGTATATTATGTACATGTATGAACCTGCCAAAATAAATCCCATTAATCTGCATAACTAATATGGATTAATAAAAAATGATGTGAAAAAATTAAGAGAATACATGTTAAGTGCTTTTACCACAGTACTAAAGTAAATGTCTACTAAATAACATAAATATAGTCATTAAGAAAATACAAATGAAAATAAAATGGATTGGAAATATGTTATTATTTGCATGATTTATGTTTATATGATTAAAATATTCTATAAATTATTACCTCTGATTTTATACAATGTTGAATATAATAGTATATATTCAGTTGTTGAAAATTAGATAGATATACTTCATTGCTAATAATGTTACATAGGATTCTCAATATTAGTTACTGAAATTCTGTATGAGGTCTTAACACCAAAATGTTTACATTTTGAAGGACCCTTATATTTGATCATAGAATAATTTCTAGGGCCAAGGCTCTGATCTGTTGTAGGTTATGAGACAGATATAAATGAGTTTTCTCTTAAATATGTCAATTACAATGCTAGCCTAATTGTATTTTGCAATTCATTAGATATTATTCTTAAATATTTTACATTTTTAGGTCATTTTGTTGGAAACATCGTCCTGTTCAAATTATTACACCTAATAATTATAGAGACTCTGTACCATGCACCATTTGTTTGGAATTTATTACACCTATTCCTACTTACAGTGTATTACGAAGTCCTTGTTGCAAGAATGCTTGGTTTCATAGAGACTGTGTACAGGTAAGATATATTTTATAAACTTTGATAAAAGTGTATTGCTTGCTGATTTGAATTTTGAATTGGCATTGATCTATAAATTAGCTCTTTTAAAACAACTATAGAGCAATTTGTAGTATATTTTACATATAAAATTTACCCAATTTAAGTGTACAATTAACATTTTAATAAATACCGTAGATGCAACCTTCCAATGTATATTTATGCTTATAAAATTGTTTTTACCTAAGAATTTTGTATTTCACAATAACACAGAGTTTAACTCTAAATTGTTTATACATTTAAACGAGAAAAGTGGAAGTAATAAGCTTGATAATAAGAAATGTCAAAAGGTTATTTTTTTCATAATTTTGTAAATATTTTATCATAATTCCTTGACAAGCCTATTACTGTCAAAGAAAATTAAAAGTATTGATTCTTTGAGAGACATATTGTATATCAAACCTGGTGACTAGTTTTCAAGTAAATAGAATACCAGAAAACACACTTGGGCTGGGGATATAGCTTAGTAGTAGAGTACTTGCTTTAGGACCTAGGTTCAATCCACAACACTGAAAAAAAAGGAAAAAAACCTCACATACAACATTAAACAATGTACTATTTCTTTGATTTGGAAAATTCTTGATTATCTTAAAAAGATCTCAACTATCAATAATATCAAATATGTAATATACATGTATGAAAGTGGTACCTACTAGACAAAGAATATGCTTATGTTTAATAGTTTTTTAAAAAATTTTATTTATTTTGGTACCAGGGATCGAACTCAGGACCTTACGCTTGTGAGGCAAGTGTGGTGCCACTGAGCTAAATCCCTGGTCCTAATACTGTTTTTAAAGTTTAGATTTCATTGTTTATTAAAATGAAATGTTATTACTGATTGCTAATTGTTTACATGTCTTAAAATTAGGTATAAATTCTCTTTCAGTGAAATTCTATTTCAGTAAACTCTAAAAGTAATCAAAGTATTTAATCTCGGTTGATTACTCTTTTCTGTATAGGGCTTAAACTTTTATATTTAGGATTACTCAGCTAAAAGTGAAAGATTGGAGCCTATTTTGTTGGGAGAGTTAGGAATTGTGTTAATTCTGGCAGAGAAATGGACCAGAGAGAGAGTCCATTTAATAAACAACTTGAAGTGTTTATCCTTACCTGTTGAGGAAGAAGTTCACATTATATGAGAATCTTTAAAAAGTGATTTCTTAATTTAAGAATTTGTATTTGAATGAATATAATCACTTCCAAATGTGTTGTCTTCTTAATTTTGTAATAAAATATTCTCGGGAAAAGCAAGATTTGCTTCATTTGTGTGTTAATTCTAAAAATACTGTTTTAATTGTTAGAAATTAGAAATATATTTGTAACAAAAAGGTAGGGCTGCCAGGTATGGTGGTTCATGCCAGTAATCCTAGTGGCTTGGAAGGCTGAGGCAGGAAGATCACAAGTTTAAGGCCAACCTGGGCAATGTAGGGAGAACCTGTCTTAGAATTTTATGAAAACGGGCTGGGGTGTAGCTAAGTGGTAGGCTCTTGGTTCACTCCCTAGTTTAAAAAAATTATTATTTTATGAAAAGAGTCACAGCAACATTAACACTTATCTGTGATATAAATATCAATAAGCAATTACTTGATTAAAGCAAACTGTGACATGGCTACTTCTTGAGTCATTTTCACTAAAGGGTCTCCAAGTAGCTTTTCTACTTTGGTGCCAGAATCTTAATTGAATATTATTAATAGTCTACCCAATCCAGATAGCTATTATAGGTGGTTAAACAAATGTCTTTTTTTTTTTTTTTTTTGGTGAAAAAAAGACTGCAGATTAGAAACAAAGAAATTTGTTAGGAATTTTTCATTTTATGTATCTAATTGTCACTAATCTTGAATTGTCACTAATCTTGTTCAGTTTGGATTTCTCCAACATTCTCTAAATTTGTCGCTATCTTCTATGTGTCCTATGCTGTTTTTTTCTCTATACCAGATACTCCTTTGTACCATTTCTTATATTTAGTAACATCTCAGCATCTCTTCGCAGTTGCTAAAAGCTCCGTTTTAATTTCAGAGATTTCAGTAACTTTTGCCCAATTGCTTAGGGGTTTGTAGGTTTTTGTCTTAATTTTCTTGCTGCTGAGAAAAAATGCCCAACATTCAGTTAGAGGAAAGGTTTATTTTGGCTCACAGTTTGTAGAGATTTCAGTCCAAATCATCTGGCTCCAAGGCAGAGTTGCATGCCAGAGGACCATCACAGAGGAGAAACCATTTGTGGCAGGCAGAAGGCACCAAAAGCATCTAAGTAGCAAGTGACAAGCCCTGAGCACAACTCTTTCTGTCCCTTATGTCTTATCCAGGCTACCCTGGAGTAGCACTCACAACCTTAGTCCTAGCATCACACCATGAATCAATCCCAGCGTGTCTTTGATCCTAGCAGCACAAACCCTAGATCCAGCCACCTCCAAAAAGCCCCACCTATGACCACATGAGGCTTTTGGGGGACATCTAGACACAAGCCATAACAGGGTTAAAATATTTTTAAATGAACGTGTGCTACTAGTTTGTTCTTTTGTGTTTTTTGTTTTGTTTTGAGACTGGCTACTTTTTCTACTAAGGTTTTAGTTTTTCCTTTATTTCTGAGCACCCTCTACCTGCAGCTTCCTTCTTTGTATTTCCTGTACCATTGAGAACATGTTTTGTGTTTCTCTCCTTTTGGGTAGAAAAGTCAGGTTAAGTTAAAAACAGCTAGAAATGATTTTAACAATTACCTGTCTTTTCTTGATGAAGTTACTACCGATTTTCACTGTTTTTCTCATAGTATGGAAAATAACATATTTAGGAGCTAAAATTACATTAGGTATCAGAGGTGGAGAAAAATATATGATGGCTATAAAGTGAATAGCTGTCTATTCAGTAGGTTTTTTTTTTTTTTTTGACCATGGGATAAAAAGCTTTCCAGATGTCAACAGTTTTGAATAACTGGGTTTATAAGATTTGAGAACGATGGGTGTAGAAGATGTTTTCATAACATATAAAGTAAAACATAGCACATATTCTATTAGTTATATATTCATAACCTGATGACAGACTTAAGTTGTTAACAATAGATTTTCCATTTTCCACTGTAGGTTCAAGCAATAAATGCAGGAGTATTTTTCTTTAGGTGTACAATATGCAATAATAGTGACATCTTTCAGAAAGAGATGTTGAGAATGGGAATTCATATTCCTGAAAAGTGAGTAATATTTAGCATTTCAACCAGGAAAAAGATACTTTAAATTCAGGATTTAATAACAGTAGAAATAATCATTTATGCCTGATTAAATGGTCAGTGGACATTTAGCCATTTCAGATGGTGAAATGTGAAGTCTTCTCCTTCCCAGATCTCTAGTTCATAGAAAAAAGAAACTGTCAGTGTCCCGTTCATTGATTTAGATAGACAAACCTGTGGCACACATGCTGTTTGCTGTCATTGAAAGCACTAAAAGGTTTGCTGTCACTGAAAGTCTCTTAAGTACTTCAGTGGTATTCAATTTTGATTGATTTATATATAACTATAATCACCTTTGAAATGGTGTTTATAAATTAGGAGAATCAAGATGGGTTTAAAATGAATGAGAAAAATTTTCTTAATACTTCAAGGTAAAGAATCCAGAAGTGATGATATTAAACTTGAAATTAAAAACTGGGAGTGAAATGTTAAAAGAATGTAAGTTTTAGAAAATTTTTGCTTAATGTTTCATTTAGCATTTGAAAATTTACTGTGAGACTAACAGAATAAAATGACATATTAGAGTTTATACTAAGGAGAATATCTTAAAAAAAGGAAAGTTTTTATCCATGTTCCTAAGTATGTATTGGATATATAAAGAGAATATACTAAAAGGGATGGTTTATACTTGTTCCTAAGTATGTGAAAGGTTTTTACTTTTAGATGCATTACCAATCCTTTTATGTAACATTATTTCATTTTTAGAGATGCATCTTGGGAATTAGAGGAAAATGCTTATCAAGAGCTTTTGGAGCCCTATGAACGCTGTGATATACGAAGATGTCGTTGCAAAGAAGGGCGAGACTATAATGCACCTGATAGGTATTTCTCAAAGTTGAGTTGTGCTTATGTGAGCCTTGAGATTGGAAAGTAGTGAAGCATAGTTTTGCTCTTAGGACGTTTGAAGTTTTAACTTGAGATAAAGTATACTTATTAAACTTCTGTTTACATTTTTGTGTAGAGAAATTTTTGCTGTTACTAGAGTTATAACCTGTTTCTCTCGTTTATTTTCATGAAGGTCTGTTTTCTAGAGCTACAGTGTCCTATGATAGTCATAGCTACATATGGTTGCTAAACTTTTAAAATATGGTTATTCCAAATTGAGAAGGTGCTGTAAATGCAAAAAATACATCAGTGACTTAGATCAACAGGATTACCTTAACAAAATACCATAGACTAAGTGGTTTAAACAAAAGAAATTTGTTTTCTCACAATTTAGGGGTTAGATATGTCAGAAAAAGGTGCTAACAGGTTTGGTTTCTTCAGAAGCCTCTCCTTGGTTTGTAGAATGCTGCCCTCTAGCTGTGTCTTTTCATGGTTGTCCCTCTGTTTTGTCCATGTCTTTTTTTAAATAAAGACCACAGGTTATACTGTTGTAGAACCTACCCATATGGTGCCATTTTATTATAATTACCACTTTAACGGCCTTTTCTCCAGGTACAGTTATATTCAGAGATATACTAGGTGTTAAGATTTACCTCAACATGTGAATTTGGGAAATGGGTACAAATCAACCCATAATCATATGAAAAAAAGAACTTAAAATATCTTGTTAATTTTTATATTGATTACATATTGAACAAAGTGGTGTATTTTGGAAATAAAATATATTTAAAGTAATTTCACCTGTTTCTTTGTACATTTTAAAATGGAGGTATTAGAACATTTTTAATTACATGTATGGTTGGTATTGTATTTTCTGTTGGACACAGTGCTGCTGTGGGGGATAATTAGCTAGATTAACCTGGCATTGTTTTTCTTTTTAATTAATTTTATTGGTACATTTTAGGTACACAATATAATGATATTCATCATTGGAAATTTGTACCTTTACATAATCTGTCTTGGTTCTTATTTTTTCCCCATTCCCCTGCCCTCCTTTCAACCCCTAGTACTATTTCTTTTGGAGCAGTAATAAAAGGTTTGGCATTGGAAATTTATTGATTACCCTTTTGTAATGTCAGTATCCAGCTGTTCTGTTCAGTCATCTTGTACCTTTTAGGTGTAGAATATATATTGCACTAGGACTCAAGAGAGTCTTCATTTAAGATGTATGAAAAGTAACAGATCATATGAGATAATGTATATACAGTTCTAAGAAGCAATACATTCATTAAAGTTGATATTCCCTACATTAATTTTAGGTGGTTTTTAATGTATATAGCCTGTGTATTGTTGATTACCAAATCAGTAGCTACAAAACTTCTCTTTCCTTTTGGCATTTGCTTTTTGAAATTGATATTAACTTTTGTTCTTTCTTCTGGGACACAGATATCTGCTACCTGAACACTTGCTATGTAATCTTATTCCCTCCATCTCAGAAAAGGTAGTATTGGTAAAAGGCAGCACTATGTAGTGATTAGGGACATGGGTCTCAAGCCAGGTAAACTGGGTTGGAAACCTCACTCTAAGGCTTAATCAGTGTGATCTTAGCTGGGCAAGTAATTTATCCCACTCTACTTTGGTTTTCTCTTCTTAATAATGGGAATAACAATTAAAATTGTGAGGACTAAACTTTGCATTTAAAGAGTAAGAACTGGGCTCTACAGAGCTGGGGGAGTACCAAGCTACCTCTCTTTGTCACCAACATTTCCATTCACTCAGGAGCTATTTCCATTTCTATACAGAGTATGCTATACCCACACAAAGAGGGGGAGTCTTATAACACAACCCATATCCACATCCATACAGAAAATACGAACATAGACTGCCACATGTCACACACCAATGGAAAAGGGAAATGAGAGAGACTATGCATAGTATGAGCCAGCTAGGAAGTCTGGAACCTGTTGTCCCACACAACACTTGAAGTGTCTGAGCAAGCTTATTTTTTTTACCTTAATATTTATTGAGTACGTATTCCACGTTAGACATAATGTTACAATATTCTCCCTGTGAGCATAGTCCTCTCCAAATATAAAGGAAACTTTTAATCAGAGCCTATCTGATGTTCATATTCTTTGTATATGTGTATATGTTGTTACTGGCTTAGGGTTTTAAGTTAGGAGGTTATTTACAGGAGATGGTTACACACATAATAAATTAAATAGAAAAAAAGCTGTAGAAAAAAATATTGCAGTATTGAAGCGCAGATAATCTGTTTTCCCTGTGGTAAAAAGGTTGCTTTTGTGTGTGTGGCAGAGGGCAGGACCTGTGGTGGCACAGGTGGTTGGAATTAGATTTAGTATCAAACATAAGCATCTACTTTTTTTATGTCCTCAGCAAATGGGAAATAAAACGCTGTCAGTGCTGTGGTTCCAGTGGAACACATTTAGCCTGTTCCTCACTAAGATCATGGGAACAAAATTGGGAGTGTTTGGAATGTAGAAGTATTATCTACAATTCAGGTAATTGTTTATAATTTTGAATAGAATTTTTTTATTTTAATAAAGTTTTTTACCTAAATTTCTCTAATGTTAACATTGAGATTTAAATCTGTAGATTTCCGAAAAGCCAAAAAACACACATTATCCAACTCTAATAATGTGGCAATTACTGATTGTTTGTTGGAAGAATCATCACCTAAGTTACCCAGACAGTCACCTGGAGCCCAGAGTAAAGATCTGCTGAGGTGTGTATTTTAAATTTGAGATATAAAAATATATTTGAAGAAAACTATGACAGCAAATGCCGTATACACTTAGGATATTAGCTGATCATGAGTAGTCTAGAAGTGTTAAAGAGTTCAGTATTAGATCATGAAATCAATGCAACCAGCATTTTTTTAAAAAAATCAAATGGGATAAAGTAGAATGCAAATTATCAGATTGTACTGCACATAGGAAGAATGTATTTGAAATCTGTTTTAATTATTTTATTGTGAACTGAGTCATAAAATATATTTGTTATATATTATTTTCAAAGTAGTTTGAAAAATGCTGTCCTGGAAAATGTCCTTAAAATGTCATTTGATTATAGAATAAGATGGGAATTGAAATAGCAGGCGTACCACGTCACTTTGTTAAATGAAAGGAATCCTATTTAATACAAAGATGGTTTATTTTTCAATATTGTAATCATTGTTTGCTTAATATATTCACTGTCAATATCAGAAATCTAAATGTCAACTTTTCCCTTTAGAAAGTTTAAAGCATACCTGTTAAATACTACCATATTCTTAACTATTTCCACAAAATAGCAAAATAGGTATCTTTCAAAATCATTCTTAAATATTTAAATATGACTGGAATTACATATTTATACTGTATCAGGTATCTGTTCAATTGTAGTTATGATTGAGTTTATGTAACTGCAAAAATGCTTTTAGAGCCTTGCTTTATCCAGTAGGAAAATAACAGTAGCTAAGCTTGATGAAGTTCTGTCATGTTAAGTTTCAAGTTTAAAAACTTAGAAGATGTAAAAGAGATCTTTTCTGAAAGTATTTGGATACTTCATTTTTCAGGTAGGTAGACTATTACTTGTCAAACCGTAAGGAATTACAGTTTTAAAATGCCACTTTTGGGGGCCCAGCTGCGAGTGGGAGTGCAAGCGCCAGCATGAAGGTGGCTGCGGCTGGCAGTGTGGCTTTCACGGCCCCAGAGAGCATCACCTTCATGGTCTCCATCTCTGGCTGTGTACTGGTATCCTCCATGCTGCCCACCTACTATTGGAAGGTGTCCACCATCAACGGCACAGTCATCACCGCCACCACCTGTTGGGCCAACCTGTGGAAGATTTGTGTTACTGACTTCATGGGTGTCTCCAACTGCGAGGACTTCCCTTCCATGCTGGGGCTGGACAGTTATATCCTGACATGTAGAGGACTTATGATTGCGTCTGTCAGCTTGGGCTTTTTTGGTTCTCTATTTGCACTCTTTGGAATGAAGTGTACCAAAGTTGGAGGTTCAGATAAAGCCTAAGCTAAAATTGCTTATTTGGCTGGAATTGTATTCATACTGACAGGGCTGTGCTCAATGACTGGATGTTCCCTGTAGGCAAACAAAATTACAACAGAATTCTTTGATCCTCTCTCTGTGGAACAAAAGTATGAATTAGGAATGGCTCTGTTTATTAAATGGACAGGTGCTTCACTCATTCTGCATAATTGGTGGTATCTTATTTTGCTTTTCAATATCTGGCAATAACAAAATACCCAGAATGTGATACACATACAGCAGGGCCACATTTGTCATGTTTTCCCAAAGTACCATGAAGAGAAGGTGACTGTAAATCCACAAACCTTTCAAAACAGTTTGATAAAAATATTTACATTTTAAAGAACTCTGCTGGCAAGCTGTGTCTTGAGTTTGTTATCAAAGCAGACTGTTCTCAAAACGATCCTATCAAGGCTTTCCTAAAATTAACACTCAAGCTATTTCTAACATAAGCTGAAGAATTTGTTGATTGTATGGATGTGAATGTTCTTACATGGTTGTGTACTAATCACGTTCTGTTATGGCTTTCTATAAAAAAAATAAACAGGTTATTTACAGGATTTATATATTTGGAGGACATATAAAGCATTTAAGACTAAAGGTTCAAGAAGTATTTGTAATATAGCCTTTTTGATCATTCATACTTGAGATATCTGATCCCATTCCTTGTTTCATATATTACACTGGAAACATGTAAAGAAGGGTGTCTTCTAAATAGTATAGGGACAATCTGAGACTGAAGTTAAAAACACATTATTGGCTGCTACATGGAGTTGTCTTGTAGTTTCTTAGACCCTGTCTCATAACAGTCATTCTTTAGGATGCCTTAAGGACGGGCTAATGAGGCCAAAGTGTTATTGCCCTTTATGTGGCACATCCCCCTTAATTAACTGCTGAGGCTTCTCTGACATAGAAAGTAGAGTCCATAGAGAGTAGGGCATTGGCGTGAGCTGAACTGGGCCCACTGACTGGTTAACTCTGAAGGCAGCAAAGGAAGTCCCAGAGCCAGCATGGCACTTGCCTCACTCAGAACTGATGATCTGAGTGTCTTACAGTTCCTATTTAGGTAACTAACTGGATAATTGAGAGACTTGTCATTTTTGAAAACATGTGAGTTTCTTCAGTGATTTTGGAATAAGGACACAGATTTATTTCTGGGGCCATCCCTATATATAACATGCCATGAGGGTTGTAGTCATCACCATTAACACAAACCTTATGTACCCTACCTCACCCTTCACAGGCACCCTATGCAGCATGTAGTTTTATTATCCTACATTTACAGAGAAGGAAATTATAGCAGAATTCTAATAATTTGTCACAATAGTGACAACATAACTGAGGTGGTTTAGTTTAGGGTACAATACAGTTTAGCCTGTAAGCACTGGTGTGAGTGAGGGCTAAGTACCACAAAAGAGGAGAAAGAGCCAGGGATTTAGCTCAGTGGTTCTGTCGCCTGCCTCGCAAGCACAAGGTCCCAAGTTCGATCCCCGGTACCAAAAAAAAAGGAAAAAGAGAAGAAAAGGTGCCAGTGAGGGGTGAGGACACAGCTCACTGCTACCTGTGTTATCTGTAAGAAGAAGCTGTGTGGATGAATCATCATTTTCCTGAAATATAAAAGATCTGAAATGAAAAATCACATTGTTCAGAGGTTCCAAATGGAAAGAAGAGGAAGCAAACAAGTTTGTTTAAAATTCATACTACTTAGTTCCATGCTAGTACTTGAAATATCTTTTTCCAGAGTTAGTTAACTAAAAGGCATAAAGATAGATGAGTGCTTTAGGCTAATGTGGGGACAGGGCTGTGGGTATGCATTTAAAACAAAATTTTTTTTAAATTTAAAGCTGAGGTGGTTAAAATAATATACCAAAAAATTTCAGGTAGAGTGTGAGGCATGGAAAAACTCTGTTAGTACTCAGAAACTTGTTAGTTTGGGCATCAGGGAGGGGCAATAGAAGGCAGTGGTCCAAAGGAAAAGGAATAAAACAAAATATGATACGACTATAAAGATAAGTTAAAAGATTGGCTTTTGTGACAAACACACTGACTTAATTTAAATGTTGGGTTTACTTTACAGCAGAGGACCCTTATATTTTCCCCAGCCTTTCTGCTAAAGACCGAAGACTCGGAACCTGGAAGATATTGGTTTATAGGCTGCTGTTATAACTTTCTAATTATGTGTATGGTCTTTGGCAAGTTACTTAACAACTGTCACACCTTTAGGATGAGGATTATAAAAATGACCACATCTCAATGTAGTTCCAATTAAATGAACTAACATAGGTTAAAAACCAAAACCCAAGTGGCTCAGGGGCTAGGGATTTAGCTCAGTGGTGCCACCACCTGCCTCACAGGTGCAAGTCTTGAGTTCAAGCCCCAGTACGGAAAAAAAAAAACAACAACAAATGGCTCAATAAATATCTGTTGCAGAAATGACTGGATGAACAAAACAATGTATGCTATCTCAGACACACAGTTTTTGTAGGTTTTCTCTGTCCTTCCGCATGAAACTTTGATTCATCATTTAGAAATACTTTTAGAAAAAGAATATAGAGAGTATAGCTGCACAAAAATGCTCCTCCTGCAAGAAGATGGAAAAAATGTTTACAAGTTTAAGTATAGGCAAGGACTTTCTGAACAGAGCCCCGATTGCACGGGAAATAGTACTGAAAATTAAATGGGATCATATTAAATTGAAAAGCTTCTGCACTGCAAAAGAAAAAAACCAGCAGTGAAAAGACAACCTACAGGATGGGAAAATATTTTTGCCAGCTATTCCTCAGAAAGAGGACTTGTATCTACAATATATAAAATCAAAACAATTAACCCCCCCATAAAAGACTCAATTTTTAAAAAATGGGCAAGTGAAATGAATAGACACATCACACAAGTACACAGAGCTAATAAATACATGAAGAAATGCTCAACATTGCTGGCTATTAGAGAAATACAAATTAAAATAACACTGAGATATCATCTTACCCCAGAAAGTATAGCCATCAAGAAATCAAATAGCAAATGCTGAGGAGGCTACAGGGGGAAAAGAAACCCTCCTACATGTTGGGAATGTAAACTTAGTACAACCACTATGAGAATCAATGTGGAGACTCCTCAAAAAACTAAAAGAAATTCATATGACCCAGCTATTAGCCTTCTGGATATCTTCCTGAGAGAGTTAAAGATGACATATTACAGTGGTGCATGCATACCCATGTTTTTAACAGCATAACTCAAAATAGTTAATCCTTGGATGTAGCCTGTATGCCCATCAACATGAATGTATAAAGAAAATGTATGTACATACACGGGAGTGCCACTCTGCCATAAAAGATAAAGTAGTCATTTGTAAGAAAACAGATGCGCCTTGAGACCATAATGTTAAGTGAAATAAATTGGACACACAAGCTTAAATATCACATGGTTTCTCTTATATGAGAAATGCAAATTATAGAGCAGAATAAAAGATAGAAGTAGGGAGATAGCTGTTTTTCTAATGGGAAGAGGATTAAGAGGTGGAGGGAGAGGGTAGAGAGCAGAGGGAATGGGGATGAAAAAGGTATTAAGATGTGTTATGTGCATATACCAACTCCACACGGAATGTAAACATTATATACTGCAAACATGTACTAAAATAAAAAGTTAGAATAGACACAAATAAAAAGGACCCTAGGGAGGTGGAAGCAGATTTAGTCTGAGGTCAGGATGTTACATGGTGTAGCTACCAAGCCAAGTCTCTCCCATGGTTAAGTCCCCTCAAAAGTATAAATGCAACTCAGAAATCATCTCTGATAGCCACAGTCGCAAAGGTCTGATAGAAGGCTTTACTGGTAAGCTTGACAAATCAAGAGATCTTTCTTTGGAAACTAAGTGCACATAGTAACACAAAGTATTTAAAAATGCAAAAAACATTTTATATGAACTTTCTGGCCTTTAACGATGTCATTGTTCAGTAATATAAATTAGCTCTGAGGTACTTTATGATAAAGTTGGGGCTTTAAATTAAAAACCACATGTGATTCAGTAATGAATCAATCTTCGTATTCTGATAATTGACATTTTAAATAGCTACATTATATTTATAAAATAACAAGGATAAAAGATTATAGCACAGAAAATTAGTGGCCATAATGTGATTCTATTAGTGGCACCATGCTTACAGTGACTCAAAGCTGAATATGATCAAGATAATTTAGAAAGATGTATTTAACATGGGCCTAATTATTGTATTCTAACTTCTAATATGAACAGTAATCACCTAAGTCTCCAAGATTTCATTGCTCACTAACTCCATTTTAAAGACACTAACAGAATTTTATATCAGTACTTCCAATATGATAATATCCAGAAGATACAAAAATGCTCTAATAATTCAAAGTAAAACCTGCTAAAGTTAAAAAAGTTTTTCACTTAAAAATTAATTGAAAAAATGCACTTATTGCTAAAGTACCATCTGAAGCAAACACTTTATGACATTAATGGCAGGTTACTTTTTAGCTGCAAAAGTGAAACACCTTTATGTGCTTCACAATACTGCTTAGGGTTCATTTTTCAATACTCTATTAAGTGCCATTAAAGAAGGCCATGTTTCCTAGGTGGAAAAATGTCACTTGTTAATGCAACTGAAAAATCTGTTTATCTGTAATTACTTGTTATAATACTTTTTCTATAAAATTCCTATTTAAATAATTTTAATATTTAGATTTTCAAAAATTTTTCCCAAGGAAGCTTGACACTTGCTTCTACTTTAACATGTAATCATACTCTAGGAGAGTAGCATTGTTGTCCTACCAATCCAGGTGGGAACAGGGAATCAACCTGCTATTTGATTTTTCTTCAAAGTAGGCTAGCAAATAGGACATTTTGTGAAAAAGGGAAAAGCAAAGCCCTGGACCACAATGGGGCACTATGTCTTAGAATGTGAAAAAATTATACTTGCTATAGAAATACTATCCATGGTCATTGAGTATATTAATTCCAATTATAGCTAGGGAAAGTGATGTAGGCAGTGATTTGAGCTAGAACATAAAATCCACCCGGATTGTTAACATGGAGCTTCTGGTTGTGTAGATTTGTAGCTGCTGCTGCTGCTTTGGGTCACATTTTGAGAATCACTGGTCTAGACCAAAAGATATACTTTTAAGAGATTGTGAATTGCTTATAATATTAACTCCATTGTTAATTATAATTTTATAATTAAAAGTACATTGTATCATCTCTCCAAGTCATACATTTCTCACATGCTATATGCAAAGATTAAATTTACTTTTATTTGTTAATGGATATAGCAAATATGAAATAAGACACATTTAAGTCAGTTTTTTAACCATTGGTCATGAAGTAAAAATTTGAGCCTTTGACTTTTTTTTTTGATACCGGGGATTGAACTTGGGTCCTTGCACTTGTGAGGCAAGTGGCGGAACCACTGAGCTAAATCCCTGGCCCCTGAGCCTTTGACGCTTAAACCTTTGGTCCCTGAATTGATCAAATTTGAGATAATCACTTATCAACCTTAATGTAAATGAGCTAATATAAATGACTTTAGTAGAAGATTGGGGTAAGGAATCAAATTTAAAGCCTAAAGTTAACAAATAACTATTTTCAGTTCGAATAGCAGACATTATTCGTTCAGCTTTTGGGTAAAAGCTGGGGAGGTGTTTCCTTTTAAACTTTATTTTCTCTTTTTTGTTGTCTATATAACTGTTGTTTCACATAAAGTACTTTAAAGTAAATCTGTGTTAAAATTCGTGTTTTGTAGGCAAGGCAGCAAGTTTAGAAGAGATATTTCAACAATATTGATAGAGTTAGGATTTCAAATTAAGAAAAAATTTAAAAGATTATGTATCAAGAAAGCTGATATCTGGACCAGTGCCTTAGTTGAATTCAGAAAGCAAAACTTCAGTCCTTCATACATGATTGAAGTAGTATTTATTGAGAATGATAATTTTGGAAGAGAACATCCAGGATCAAAGCAAGAATTTCTGAGTCTTTTAATGCAACATCTTGAGAACTGTCCATTGTTTGAAGGTTCCTTATCAAAGAACTTATCTCTAAATTCTCAAGGTAATTTTATTTATTGCACATGAATATAGCATATATAGAAATAAGGTTAAAATTTAATATTCACCATGGTCTAAATATATAATTTACTTTAATAAACTACTGATAGAATCCTAGGAAAGAGGGATGAAAAGATGTTTTTAAAGGTAAGTTTTGTTGGGGCCATGGTCATAGCTTCATGGTATAACCGTTGTCTAGCATGCGTGAGGAGGTCCTGGGTTCACTCTGCAGCACTGATAAAAATAAAGAGGGGAAGGAAGGAAAGGGGAGCAGAAAGTCTTGGGAGTGAAACATTGTTTAAGAATATCTATACTTTATAGCAAAATCCTTCATAATTAAAATTAACTTCATTTAAACTTTATAGTCATTCAAATTTCACTTGAATACTATGGCCAAATTGGACAGATAATTATTTGGACCTCTCTTGTAGTCATATACTTGAAATTTGGCATTGGCATATTTCTTTACAACATTGGATTTATATTAAAATAGTTTTTTGGTTCAAGTGTAAGATTTTTAAATATAATTTGTTTTAAAGAAGTTTTTTTAATATACACTTATGTAAGAGAGTTTATTTCATAATGTAGGAATTTTCTTTATGTTTCCTAGAGCTTACTCACCTTGCCTGAAGTATTATTACTATGTGTACTACAAAGATTATTAAATTCCTTTAAAAATTATCAGTAATGTTAAATTCCCTTTAAATTCACTTTTAAAATAAGAAGTAATGTTAACTGAAGACAACTTTAGTACAGTGAAAAATGGATTAAGTTACAAAGTCTGAATTCAAATTTATACACATTTACTTCACTAGTTTTACATACTTACATTAATTACCCTGTCAGGACCTCTGCTATTTTTTATCTGTAACATATAACTAATAAGGTCATTGTTGAAGAGATCTTTTTACAAGTTCAACTACTATAAATATTACTGATTAATAAGTTTCTTTGAGCAGTTAATAGAAAAACAAAGGAAATTTTACATTTTCTCTTTTTGACTATCAAAGTTACTAAAATATTTTGAGTGACAGTTTTAATTTAAAGCTATGAAGGTATAGTAAGATAGAATATACTGTTGGGAATAAATTTGTGCCTTTTGAAAGGATAATTTAATGATATACATCAAGAACCTTAAAAATGCTCACATCCTTTGACCCATTAATACAGTTTAAGGACTCTCTCCTAATCAAATCAAATGTGTAAACAAAAATATGTAAATAGATATTGACTGTAACATTATATCACAGATAGTTGAAAATGTCACTCAATCTGGATAACCAGTAATAGGGAGATTTTACTTTGTAGTACATCGCAGTGTTTGTACAATGTTTGTCTTAATGTATTCCTTAAATATAAACAGGTAATTTTGAATAGTATAAGAAAAATTTTACAATATAAGTGGAAAAAAAGCAGAAATTAAGCTATTTTATGTATGTTTATGTACAAACAAATACACTAAAGGATTTACAGTGATTATTATTGTGGGATTTATAGGTGTTTTAGGTTTTTTTCAGATTTTCTATATTTTTCTTTTTTTTCAACAATTAGTTATTTATATTCAGAAAAAACATTTTTATATAATTTAGGTAAAGTATATATAGAGAGTAATAGCTTCTAATGATTGCTATTTTACATTTATCTAAGTTTAGATTTTTAGATTTGTAATTAAATATGCATTCACTTAAAATGATAATTATCTTACAGTAATAAAAGACATGTATTTGATGTGTTTTCATTTGTATTTACAGCTCTAGAAGAGAATCTTTATTTTGAAGCTGGCAAAATGCTTGCCATTTCTTTGGTTCATGGTGGTCCTTCACCTGGTTTCTTTTCTAAAACCCTGTTTAACTGCCTTGTTTATGGACCAGAAAATGCCCAACCAATTTTAGATGATGTGTCAGACTTTGACGTGGCACAGATTATAATCAGGGTAAGAAATGTACGTATTTATTAAGATGTAGACTACATTGTAGAGTTATGGTAACATAAATGATTTGCAACAGAATAATAGACCGCATGGTGTACTTATCATCAGTTGTCAACATATGGTATTTATGTTTACCAACAGAGTTCAGAACCAGTTAAGAGATAGAAGTAAAAGTCAGATAACTAGAGATCAAAGTGCCAGATTTAATGTTGATAAATCCATTTAGATAATGTTAGATTTGTGTTCAAAGTGAACTAGAGAGTTTAATCTATCCTGTCAGAGACAGTACAAGGCAGGTTCCTTATTGGATGTTAGAGAACAGTTGAAAGTGCACTTTCCTACATGCAGGTGGATCTGAGGAAAGAAAAGATTTGCCTCACCAGTGAGAATATTTACCCTTCCTACTATGCGGAAGTATGAATGACAGAAAGACCAACTCTAATTTCTTTCTTATGAAAACAAGTGTGAGGTCTTAATGCTCCCACATAACAATAGTTGCCATTAGTTGAGCTCTCACAGTGGGTTCTGTACTGCCTATATCAAACATACAGACTCCTTTCTCCTAATATCCTAAGTATCATTGCTTACATGTTACTGATTCCTTCTTAACTTTTCTCATACTTAAGCATGTAGCTATCCATTAATTAATAGTATAGTTTAATGATTAAAAGCATAGGCTTACAAATGAGATTTTAGTTTGAGTGCCAGTTCGTATAAATGCTATAAGCTGTGTGATTTTAAACATGTTAAACTTGTTAAGCCTCAGTTTCTAAAGCACAAAGTAGGCACTATGGAAGTGTAAGTTTCTATATATTGTATTGTAATTTAACAACAGTTCTATTTATTTGGCCTAATACTGCTCATCCTAAAATCATACTTTAAATTGACCCTTTAATACTTGATTTTTCCTTTAATTCTCTTTACTAAAAAATGTTCTTTAACTTTTTCTCTATTTTCCATTTTCTATTCATTTCTAAACTTCTTGTAATAAATCTTCTGTTCCCACTACCACTCTCCTAACTTGGCTTTTCCATAGTTTCTAACCAAGGATCTAAATCTTCATATCTAGAGAATCTTCTTTTCTAATTCTTCATTTTTCTCTGACAGATGTAATCACCACTTTCTTAGAGCTCTTCTCTACTATTTTCTTTTATATTGTACTTCTATTTTTGATTACTGCTATCTTTAATGCTTTTTCTCTTACCCCTGAAATTTAAGCATTTTACAGTATTGTCCTAACCCTCATTCTATACTCTTTGGAGAGCCTCTTCTGTCTTAATAACTTTTCTGAATGATTCATGGACCTGTGTTTTGAGCCCCTTTCTATTTGAACAAAAGCACCCCACTTCAATTTTTTGTGTTTTCTAAGAGACTTCTTGTTTCAGGCTATCCTAAAGGAGTCATTTTTATTCTTCCATAGTTCATTTAACAGTTATATGTCAAGTTGTAAAAGTGGCAATCTTCAACCTTTCCTTTGTATACTTCTAGTGTGCCTACTAAACCAAACTCAAATTATATCTAGGCGTAGACAAACAGGATATTCTAATATTGAGTGATTCTTCCAAAAGTTCTGTTTTGACCATACTGCTTTCTTCCTCAGGAATGCCTATTAAACAACATTCAAACTCTCTATAAAGGCATTTAAAACTTTCAACTCTTTTTCATGGCTTATGTACTCCAATACTTCCTATCCAGTGTTTGTTCATACATTTAGTCAACAAATAGTATACACCCTTTCCTATTTTATCAGAATTTACATTTTAGAAGAAATACAGAGGAGAAACAAATATAATAAACCATGATGTAGCAAACATTTTAAATATAAACACACAGAATCATTTTTAAGAGGAGCTGTGTAATAGGGTACATATAAGGTATAGTTTAGGCTATGCATCTTTAACAAAGAGACCAAGACAGTGGCTGAAAAAGGGAAGATGCTTATGATGCCCTCTAAAATTTGTTGCCTCCATTAGGGTCTCTAGGCGCTGGCCAGCTGCCTTTTCTGTGAGTGGTTTTACTGAAACCACTCATGCCAATTTGCTGCATATCGTTTTCATACTACAGTGGCAGAGTTGAATAGTTGCAACAGACCAAGTGATTCACAAAGCATAAAATGCAAACTATTCCTTTACAGAACTGGCCCATAGTTTAAAGGTAGAGTTGTGATTTATAAAATCATCTAGGAAATTGGGTTCTTTCTGCTTGTTGTCCAATCACTTAGAATATTGTCTATTATTATTGAAAGTGGAGAGCAGGGAAATTTGACACATTGTTTTGGTTCATTTTTCTATTAATGGATTATTGGTTGGCTCCTATTTTTATATTTCTCTTTCTGTGTCTTTAAGAGCTAACCTATATGAAAGTGTCTGGCACATAATGATTTCATTGTTTATACTGTTTCTTAAAATACTCTTGATAAAATTCTTTCCATCTTTTAGGTCTTAGCTGATCTTCCTCTTTCATGAAATCTCAGATCATCTCTCTCGCCTCTTCAGTGGCATGTAACTTTTCTATTTTTTTATATAAGTAATTTTCTGTATTAAAGTGATGTTATACTCTTAGTATCTTGAAGGCGGTGTACAGTATTTGTTGAACTAGATTGTCGGGCATTTATTCTAGAAAAATACTTCCTTGTATACTTTCAATCCACTCTGAGGTACTCAAAAATTGAGTATAAAGTACTGTGTCATTTGAAATGTAAATATCATTCACAAATAATTGGGTAAAGTGGATATATTTTCTCCTTTGTTTTCAGATAAATACTGCAACAAATATAGATGACTTAAACTCAGTAATAAATGAATACTATAACTACCTAGAACTTATTGGATGTCTAAGACTTATAACAACATCAACTGATAAATACATGTTGGTAGAAGACATACTTGTCTACCATGTAATTAAGAGAGTCCAAGTACCCTTTGAAAGGTAAGCCATTTGTTTATATGTTAAAACTCTCTCAAATGATATGTTTAAAGTAGTTAATTACCTTGTAATGTGAGATATAAATAGTAATAAATATAAATGTGTTTCAGGAAAATTTAAATGCTATTTTTAAATAACTTTTTAAAATTAACCTCTCAAGGATGATCACTGCTCTGAACATTCTATACAAAATTGTATTAAATGTATGATGTTTAGGTAGAAAAAGTAATCATTACTTCAATTTATAATGATGTTTCTAAATTATTTTAAAAACTCTTAAACATATGGGCTAACTATTCCACCTCTACTTATTCATTTAATAAGTATTTATTGAGCACCATCATCTGCTGGGTAATAGAGGTTGTAACTATTCTTTGATTAAAAAAGTAGATCTGGCTCTTGCCTTTCTTTAGTTTAGAACATTGACCTTCAAACGTTTAATTCCAGTAACCCTTAAAAGAAGTTTGACAACTTACATATCTCTTCAAACTCATCCTTTTTTTTTTTTTTGGTACTGGGGATCGAACTCAGGACCTTGTGCTTGCGAGGCAGGCAGCGGCACCACTGCACTAAATTCCCGGCCCATCCATATTTTTTAAAGTAATGGAAAATACCAAATATCTATGAAAGTAGCACCTGTATGATCACTACCTAGATCTGTTATCAGCCTGTGTCCAATCTTAATACCACATACAATATCATCTCAGAAGTGATGGATTCATTTCTTTAACAGTTTCAATATCTGGGCTAGGAGTATAGCTTAGCCGTAAGGGATTTGCCTACCAGGCACAAGGTCCTGGGTTTGATCCCCAGCACTGATACTGATTAACCCACAGATTTAAATATAGTTGATGTGTTTAAAACCATTATAATTATTATCCTTACTGTGTTTATATTGCCTTATTGAGTAAATAAACCTCTTTATGTTGTTTTCTCTGAGTTCTCTGAATATGATGCTTTAATTGTCTAGGACTTTTCAGTGGACCAAAATAGAAAATACAGGATTCTTTTGTCACTTTGCTTTGGTTTAGTTTTTTAAGGTAAAATGGATCATGAGTTTATACTGATTTCTAATTCAAATTTACTACTATATGATTTTTACTTAACTTTTTCTTTAGCTCATATTGAGAATCCCAGTTTTAAGAGCACTGGTAAATTAGGTTATGGAGTCATTATTCACTTGATTTATTACACATTCCATATGCAATAGTCTCAGAATAACAGCACTAACATTTACACCAAAAACCTATTATTATTGAAAAAAATTAAAATTATTTTTCTTTTTTCTAGACTTTATATCGTTAGTGTCCTTTTAAACCACTTAGAATAGTTATTCTGTGTGTTGTTATACTGTAAACTGGATATACATTTCCATTTCACTTTTTTGTGTTTTATTTTTAGAGATTTTATTAAAATGTTAGTTTAAAATTATATAAAGTATTTGCATGGCTCAAAAGTCAAATATACAGTAAAAGCATATTAAAGGTGGCTAGCTCTGTGATACAGTGTATTCAAAATAGTACAGCATTAATGCTTAGCACATCCACCTTCCATCCCCTTATGAGGTAATCACTTTGCCTTTTTAAAAAACATGGTTTCTCATTTCATTATTTTTCTTTTCTTTTTTTTTTTTTGGTACCGGAGATCGAACTCGGGTCCTTGAGCTTGCAAGGCAGGTGGTGGAACCACTGAGCTAAATCCCCAGCCCCCCATTATTTTTCTTTTTAATAACAAGATATGTGTGTGTGTCTGTCTGTCTGTCTGTCTGTTTACTTACTCCTTTTCCTTTTGTTAGATAGCCACCGTTTTTTCATTTGACAATATATTCTATAGGTCCCCTTAGTAGTAAATAGACATATTCGTCATTACACACTCTTTTTTTTTGCTTTGGATATATTGTTGTTTTCAACTAGTTGCCTGTTAAAGGACATTTAGAGTGCTCCCTAACTTTCTTCTAAAGTATATTAATAACATACTCTTGAATAATTACAAAGGATATGATTTCCAGTGTATTTTTAATATTATAATTTTTAAATCACAGTTATATAACTCTTAAGTGTATCCAGATTTTCTCTGAGTAGTAACATTTTTTATGAGTATATCATTAATAAAATTTTATTCAAAATACATCTCTTGTTGGTCATGGTGGTACACTCCTGTACTCCTAGCACTTAGAAAGCAGAGGCAGAAGGGTCGCCTAGGGTTTGAGGCCAGCCAGGGCTACATAGTAAATTCAAAGCCAGGCTATAATACACCCTGGCTCTCTCTCTCACACACACACAAACAAAGCATCTCTTAATGAGGCAGATGTACACAATATTTTTTCTCCAAGTACTGTACTTTCTCTATCAACAAATGGGTTTTTCTCATTGCTAAGAGAGTGGATTGTCATTCATTTGTGGGGTTTTTTGTTTTTATAGATGAGTAATCTAGAGGTCAAGAAAGTCTTCCCCATATAAGTGTGTTTAAATTAAAACCTGAAGGTTAAATAGGAGTTAAGGAAGATCAAGATGAAGAGGAAAGAAGAAAGAAGTTGAAGATTAGTCCCTTCTTTTATGTAAAAGATTTTTTAAAATTAGCAAGATATATTTTGAGCTTATAAGAAAATAGACCTGCAGATGTCAGAAATAACAAAAAAACCAAATGCTAAAGTACTCTAGCTGTCATGTAGAAAAATCAAAAGCTTCCACTTGCTCCAAACTTGTTTTGGTGTTTCTCTGTGAAACCCAATTTGAGGCAGAAATATTAAATTAATTGGTCCTGGAAGTCATTGATACCTATAGAGTGCCACACATAAACAAATACATAGCAGTGGCATAGGGAATTTTCTACAGCTCAAGCTGAATGGAAATGCTGAAGATAGAGCAATCCTTACAAAAGGGAAGTTCCCATTTACAAAAAGGTCAAAACTTACAACTTTAGAAGAAAGCGAGAATTGGAAGATAAAGCACACTAAAGATTTAAATAACAGAAAATACTGAATTAAGAAGTACTTTCACAGTTATTGAAAATATTTTTCAAAGGAAAAAATACAAAATATGAAATGAATCAAATAGTATCTCTAGATTAAAAAATTATCATAGACCTCTGGTTCTAGATAAGATGGTATAGACACCCTTATCTCTACTCTTCCTGCTAAGTAGTTTTTTTAAAACTCTGGATTTTATACATAAAATGAATTTAAGAAGATTTTGAAAGATGGAGAGATAAAGACATTAGCTAGGGATGTTGGGACCCAAAAAAATGATACAACAGACTGAAAGGAGAAATCTAGACATTATTATGTGAAGGAAAACTAAGAGAATTTGCCACCTGCAGATACCCTAAAAAAAAAATGATTGTAGGGAGTTTCTGAAATAGAAACCAAATAATTCAAAATTGAATCTTAAATCAGGAAAAACAGTGAAAAGAATATAAATGTGTTTCTTATCTAAATTATGTTTGATGGTTGATGAAAAAATAAAACATTATCTAATGTGTTTCATACTATAGAGGAAATGAATTAAAGTAATTAAAATAGGAGAGAAAGAAGATTGTAATATACAAGGGAAAGTTAGTAGACTTATCATTTTAAGGAACTTGTATTGTTTAAGTACTAGTGGGAAGTATAAATCTTTTAAGGAAAAACTCTAAAATAGCAAGAATAGAATGTGTAACTTCCAAACCAGTTGAGAGGGAATGAAGTGGGGGAGTCAAAACGTATTTAAAAGTCTCACAGTGGGAAGAAAAAAAGAGATAAATACTAGCCAAGAAAAACACATAAAGTAGAAAAGCAGAAAAAACAAAGTAGAAAAGCATAATTTAAGGTTAAAAAAATATATACATATATATAGTCCAAAACTCTAAATAGATTAATATAAATGACACAGAAAGGCCTAATCTTAAAAAACTCTTAATAGTTTTCAAAAGAATAAATTCTTTAGGAATATTAAACAGTTTTGAATCTCACGTAAGTGTACAGCCTCAAAATATATAAAGCCAAAGTTTAAGGGTAACAAGAAGAAATTGCTAAATATATGGAAAAATTAAGATATTTGAAACAAAGATCTGAAGAGTTAATAGTGTAAGCATACAAATAATGAATTGAGAACCTAGAAGAGCAGAGAATAAAAGCATCAATTCTAAGGAATATTTATAGCAGGAAGCAAGTTAAGTACAACATTAAATCTTATGTAACGTACCCCGCTAATAGATTAAAGGAGAGAAACCATATGATTAACCTACAACCAGAGACCCCCAAAAAGCATTTGCTACATTTAAACATTTATGTATAAATTTAAGCTAACTTTTGAAGAATGGAATGCATAATTTTAATCTCATAAAATGTAAAATTTAAATATCCTAATTGATAAAGAAATCTCACTGAGCAGACATTATACATAGTGGTGAAATGTTATAGGCATTCTACTGAAGGCTATCACAAGTGTAGGCCTGTTCCTTTAATCATATGTATATTGGAGGTCATAGAGCAACAAGACAATGAACAAGTAAACATTATTACCAGTTAGGACTAAAATTAGCATTTGCAGGTTGTGTCTACATAAAACAGTTTAAGAAATTCTTGTATAAAGAGCTCAGCACGGTTACTAGATATAAGAGATAAAAAGGATTCTAACAGGGAAATTTGGAAGTGACAAGAAATAGTAAAAAAAGAAATTGGTTTAAGACCAAACACTGGCTGTGCAAAAAATTAATGCCTAACATGGGGAATTATAAAACAAGGAGAAATAATTTTGAAGTAGCATAAGGATGATAGCTGTTGGAGTTATACGTGTTATTAAGTCTTTCTATTCTTCAGAAAGAGAGTAAATATATTGATTCAGTATAGATTTCAAAATGCCTATTAAAATATTGAGGGAGGAGTAACTTTAAGAATTACTCTATGTATTAAACAGGTGAATTGGAATTTAGAAATCAATATAACTATGGAAATTGGCAAGGAATAAAATATTTTAAAAGGCAGTACAATTGCTCATATTAAAGTAATAGGCTTCCTAATATAGTAGCAGTTACAGTAAGTGAAAATTACTCTGAAAAAAGCAAGTTACAGTAAAATAAATATGCAGTGTGAAGTCATTTATAGAAAATTCCCAAACAAACAGCAAAAAATAGCTATTATTTAGGGATTCATATACAGGGAAACTAAAATGAAATGCAGACTATAGTAGAGATTACAGGATGGTTGTTAAATAACAACTTCTAATACTAATTTTTGTAGAAGGAGAAGGAAAGTAATGAGTAGGTAAGATTTAATCAAGGGAATAGAAGATTGTTCTTTACAAATTCTGAGCAAACATGAAAAAAAGTTACTTTTAAAATTGTGCGTGGTGGCACAGGGCTGTAATCCCAGCACTGGGAGACTGAGCCAGGAGGATCCTTAGGTTGGAACCCCTTTGGTCAATTTAGCAACTTTTTGAGATCCTGTCTCAAGATAAAAATAAATAAAAGGGCTTGCAAAGGCCCTTATTTCAGTACCTAGTATTATAAACAAACAGGTAAATTTTTTAAAGGCAAACTTTAATTTGACTGAAATAGCCTTTAAAAATAAGCAGAAAATGAAAGTTAAGAGGTAGAAAGAAGTGCAAAGCTAGAAAAAAAGTGCAAATGTTATGCTGTGGGGGGCTTTGGAAGCCATTTTATGGAATTTGGACTTTGTTTTATGGATAGGGTACATACTAGTTTACTGTATCACAAACTGACTAGTTTAAAACAACAGAAATTTAGCTGGGCATGGTGGCACACACCTGTAGTCTCAGCACTTGGCAGGCAGGAGGATCACCGAGAGTTTGAGGCTAGCCTGGGCTACATAGTGAGTTCAGGTCCAGCGTGAACTGCATAGCAAGACCCTGTCTCATAAAGCATACATACATACATAACATACGAAATTTGTTCTCACCATTTTGGAGGCCACACACCCCAAATCACTGCGTCCATAACGTTTCACTTTTTCTATGTAGAGAGAGAATTCATTCTGTGCCTTTTCTAGCTTCTGATGGCTCCAAGCATTAATTGGCTTGTGGTTTTGTGATTCCAGCCTGACTATATCACATGCCCTTTTGCTCTATGTGTGACTTCTCTGTATCAAAGACACTTGTCATTGGATTTAGAATTGGCTCTGAATAATCTAGTAGGAGTATATCTCAAAATCCTTACCACTAACAATCTAAAAAGACCCTCTATCAAATAAAAGGTCACATTCACAAGGTCTAGAGAATAGGATAGGGGAGCCACCATTCATCTTATAATGACCGTGTTGAGTTTTATTTTTGGTACTTCCTGTGGCTACGGCATTGAAAATGGACTTGGAGATTTACACACTGAGTACACAGTTCCATTATAAATTACTTATAATAGGGTTGTAGCAGGGGTATATAGAGAAATGAACAGATAAAAGAGATTTCAGGAAAGGAAATGTACAGGATTTGGTAATTAGTAAGAAGAAAGTTTAGTATGGCTTTTAAATTGAGCTGTGCCAATTATATGAATAATGGATCCATTGACTGTTATAAATGGTTCACATTTTGGTAGTAAGGTGATTTGATTACTTGAAAGGCCACAGCTCTCAATACTGTTGCATTGGGGATTGAGTTTCAACATGAATCTTGAGAGGGATAAAAACATTCAAATTATAACAGCATGTTTAGGTGCTCAAGAAAAAGTCAATAGAAAGAGGAGATAAATCAGTGTAACAGATTATCTGAAAATGGTGGGAAATCCGGAAAGTCAGTCTTACAGACAAAAATGTTACTTTTCTCTGCTTAGTAGTAAAAATTTTTATTTAAAAACATTCATTTATTTATAAAAGTATGTTATATGCATATACACATATGCCGAAATAAAACCTATTTGTATTTATTCTGTTTGGGGGTTTTGGGGGGTTTTTTTTTACACATGAGTTCCTTTGGAACCCAGAGTCTGCAATGAGCTACATCCCCATTGCTTTTGAAAATGTTTTACTTTTGAAACAGGGTCTTACTCAAGTCCGTAAGTTGCCCAAGCAGGGCTGCAACTTGCTATTCACAGACCTCTTGCCTCAGCCTCCCAGAGTAAATAATTGATCTTTTAGAGAAATTATTTATAGTTTTTATATATGAAAGAATTCATTTTCTGTCATGTATATTAAAATATTTTCATACTTCGTTATTTTATTTTTAGCAATGCATACATTTCACATTTTTATGTGGTTCAGGGCTATCATTCTTTTTTCTTTGTAATCTCTAAAAAACTTTTTGTGTATGTGTGGCATGGAACCCAGGACCTTTGTACTCAGCTACATCCCCAGCCCTATCTTTAAACTTACAGTTTTTTGGGGTGTTTTGTTTTGTTTTGTTTTGTTTTTGAGACACAGTCTCACTAAGTTGCCCAGGCTGGGCTTGAACTCTGCCTTAGCTTCCCACAGTGCTGGGATTACAGGTGTGCACCATCTTGCCTGGCTTTCTAAAAACTTTCATTTCTATAGTAGCATTGAGGTATAAAATACTTCAAATGTTTGCTGTTTCTCTTAATGACAGTGTTAACTTAATTTGAAAACTATAGACCCAAATGGTAGTCATATATTCATTTTATATTAATGCATTTGCTTATGTATTTTATATATTGTATGTCCATTTTTTCTTTTTGTTTTATGTCTGAACATATATGGTAGTTTTTGTGGGGTTTTTAAATCAACTATTTGAGAAATACCAGGTAAGTTAGATGCAAATGTTAATTCCCTAATCATGTAAGACTAAACACATGTATGAATGTTGGCTCATTTTTCTTAAGTTTTAAGCAGGGTCTGAAAACACTTGGTGTCTTGGAGAAAATTCAGACGTGCCCAGAAGCATTTTGTAAAATCCTCTGTCATAAACCTGAGAATCTTTCTGCAAAAATCCTTAGAGATCTTTTTACAGTACACATATTACCTGATGTGCAAGTGTTGGGGTTTTGGAACAGTTACCTACAGAGTGTTGAGGGTATGTGGATATTTTATTTTTATTTAATTATCTCAGAGTTTTTGTTTCAGCATATTTATTTCTTGCAGAGTTTTGCTGCTTAATGAAATAAAATACATTTGCTAACTCCAAATTTACAAAAGAAATTTATTTCAAAACAAGTTTACATGACTGAATTGGAAGTAATGAAAGAAAGTTAGAGTAAATTTATATTTTGCAATTTTTGTCTATATAATTTGAGCTAAAAGGCATTTTTCATAGAAAATCTGAAATATATAGAGGATAGAACAACCTTAAATATGTAGATGATTGCAACACCACAAAACAGTGGGTTTTTTTTCTTTTGTAGTATTTGGGACTGAACTCAAGGAGGTACATCTAGCGCTTTTTATTGGGGATAGTCTTGCTAAATTGCCAGGCTAGGTTCGAACTTGGAATCCTCCTGCTGTGGCCTCCTGAATAGCTTAAATTACAGTGTGCACCAGTACACCTGGGCAAGAGCATATAGCAGTCTTAAAACTCATCATTTAGTTTATCTTTTTTCAGTTTGAAGTTAAACTGAATTATTCTTTACTTACTCTTTAGGACTATGACAGTGAGATTTGTCATTGAGTATTAGCAATGTAAGATTATTCCATTTAATAGGCTGGAAAAACTTTTAACTTCAGTTAGCTGTTCATCATTTAGTTTTTTTCCCTTCATTTGTTAAACTTATATTAATTAGTAATGATCTAGAAGTGGTTATATATATAGTGAATAGTTGGGCAAAATAATTTTGAGTCCTTCTACATTGAGATTCATTTCATGAGTAGTACTGTTCACCTATTACTATACCTAAGTGATTTAGTTTGCCCGAGATGTCAGTGGGAGTCTGTGCCCTTCAGTATTCCAGTTTAGTTGGGGAAGAGGAAGTGATGATAGCAGTATGTAATATGGCTTTATTCTTATTTTTTTTGTTTTGGTTTTTTGTTTTGGTTTTCACTTTTACTGTTTAACTTTTCAGATGGTAAATCTGCAATAACAATGGAAGACATTCTTATTTTTGCAGCTGGTTGCAGTTCCATTCCACCTGCTGGATTTAAACCCACTCCTTCAACTGAATGTCTGCATATGGATTTTCCTGTTGGAAACAAGTGTAATAACTGTTTAGCTCTTCCAATGACGAGTACATATAAAAAATTTCAAGAAAATATGGACTTTGCCTTAAGAAACACTCTACGACTAGAAAAGGAAAAAAGTTCTCACTACAATGGACATTAAAATATTTCTTTGAACAAAGAAATGCTTCTTTAAAAGCTGCTATTGATAACTTTCCTTTGTTTCAGAAATCTATTAATCAGCACTTTGCAACAAATTTTTCATCTTCTTGGCCCAATGAAACTTAGGATATGTACGTAAAAGAATATTTTGGCCATTTAAACAAAAAAAATTTTTGTTAAAATTGGTGGTATTTTTCTATTTTCTTAATATACATGCTTAACAAACCAGTATAAATACTTTTATAATGATTGTACAGATTTAAACAGGTGTAGCAGCATGGTAAATATGAAAGAGCTACTATTTTTATAAATTGGAATTGCCTATAGGATTCCATGATTTTTCTGGTTTTATACAATTTTCAAATTACTCTTTTTTTCCCAATTATGCTTTATTTTAAAGCATTAAATAGAAAAGCTAAACAGTTAAATCCTCATAAATAAAAAGTACATATTCTGGGGTATGCAGTATATGTATGCTTTTTTAGGATGGCACTAAATTCATGGCTAAGATGTTTTTAGATCACTGATTTATACATAAATGATCCACACTGCAATTATATTATGCCTTATTGGAAGTATTAAATAGAAAGCAGAATTGCAGTTATTCTGGAATGGACATTCCATGGGCTTGAAAACACTTCCTGAGGTGAATAAAATGTAGTGGAAAATACTTAAGAAAATGTATCTTCTTGGGCCAGGGATTTAGCTCAGTGGTTTCGCCACCTGCTGCGCAAGCGCAAGGACCCGAGTTCAATCCCCAGTACCCAAAAAAAAAATTTTTTTTTTAAAATCTTTAAAGCCATGGTTTTTTGTGGGGTATTTTTTTGTACTGGGGATCAAACTCAGGACCTTGCATTTGCAAGGCAGGTGTGGTGCCACTAAGCAAAATCCCCAGCCCTAAAGCCATGATTTTAATCATTGAGGTTTTTTTTCTATATCCTATGTGTGTCATTCAGTATGTTTTAGCCATAGTCAGTGTATATATCTGAATGTGGATTATTATGTGGTTGATTTGCTATTTGACATTTGTTATCAACATGGTTCTATCATAGGTAAGCTGGTATCATAGCATTATAACAGTTATCTTCTTTGGTCTTGAAATATACCGCTTTTTAGTTGGCCATTGAGGCAGAAGCCTGTAATCTCAGCACTTGGGAAGTTGAAGCAAGAGGACCACCCTAACTTTGAGCCAAGCCTGGGGGGCTACATAGTGAGTTCAAGGCATCCCTGAACCACACTGCAGGACTGTAGAGGATATGAGAAGTTCTCTGGCCCTCGGACAGCCTTGGGAAGACAGATTGTCCTGATGTCTGTGGCAGGCCCAGATAGAGAAGTTAAAGATAACTTCAGAAGGCTGTTTGTCAATCCCACAGTGTTCCAACGGGGTCCCTTGAGACTCTCAAACATTTGCTTGACATAAGAATAGGTAAGAGTAGCTAATCTTTTAGAAGCTTTAACTAACCAAGATGATTTAGATAAGACACACTAAGATTAAAAGAGCATAGATGGTTCTTTAGATGCTTTATGTACTCACAGATATAACTGGTGGTTAGTTGACTAGCATTGTAAATTGTTAATGACTGATGTATCCTACAGAAAAATGTATAAAAGAAGAATATTACCAATAAACCTGGCCTTAACTCCACACAGAGTTCTGGTCCCCCTGTGCTCCTTCATTTTATAAGTTTCGTCAGATACTGTCTTCAGGTTCCAGTCTCTCACCAAGGAGACCCTGACACAGGACCTTGTCTCAAAGGAAAATAGGGAGAGAGAAAAGAAAAGGAAAAAAAAGAAACATACCTGTTTTTGTATTAGCAATGTATAAATAAACTTAAAGAGAAATACAAACAGAATGAAAAACCCACTATAATCTTACCACACAAGGAAGTATTGTGTGTCTGTGTATTCCTCTATAAACTCTTACGTTTTCTTTATTTTTAACTATATTAATGCTATCATGTAATAATTTGAACATATACAGTCCCATAGTCATGTCCCCAGATTTATAGCCTTACAAAAGGAAAAACTAGAAAAAAATAATCTCCCAAGTCTATTATCAAACAGAAATGAGACAATGCTACTGTTTTCTGCTAATCATAATGATCACTAAATAATTATAGGGTCAATTTGATATATATAATATATCTTAATACAAAAGGAAAGCTAAAATATAATCCTAGTGTAATTTTATTACCCTCTTATTTTTTCAAGATATCCTTGTATTTGATAAAATTAAACCAGCCACTTCTTAAGTCTTGTGTTAAATTCTGTTAGATTGTCAAAAGTAACTAAAGGGTCAATTATCAAAACCTACTTTTAATTTCTAAACTTTATACTCAGTATACAGCTTTTATTCCAAATGTGTTGATAAATTGGATAGTTCTACCTAGTTTTTCTAAAGTTTAAAAGACCATTAAATCAGTGCAACAGCCTCCCCAAACTAATTAATTTTCTGGTTTGTGTTTTTAGTTTCTCCTAGAGTAGTAAAACTGATACAACACTTGTGTACTTTGTTGGGATGTGTTTGGGGGTTAGCTACAATTAAAAACACTGTTTCAGTTCCTCATTACAAAAATGTGTAGATAGGGCTTTAGTGGTAAGAGGTATAAATAATTTAGCACACTGCCTCAAAGTGAAATATAAATATTCATACTATAAAATGTTTTCTGGTTTGAAGGATATTCCATTAGTATGATTTTTTAGGTTACTCTGTATAGGCAAGCCATATCAGAGAAACTTATTGGTTATTTGTTTTCTTCAGTGTAACTCTGTCAGATGGCTGACTTTATATTATAATTTTCTGTTCATGTTATAGCATAATTCTTACTGATACTGAATTTTTAAATGGAATCATGCTATAAACCTTTATATGTTTGTATTTCTTAAATATTTCAACTGTCTAAATGCCATATATTTTAAGTTTGTTTACTCTTTAAATATTGGTGAAAACTATCATACATCTGTTGTTAATGGTTTAGTATTATATTCATCATTTAAAAACAGTTTTTAAACTTTTAGTATGGGAACTTTATCTTAAGGCCTTTCATACAAAACTACGTATTCTTGTACTTGTTCATTTTCCTGTTTTAGTATTTAAGGTAAATATTCTTTAAAATATCAGGAGTACCTTATGATTTATACTTTGTAATATTTACTTTCTATGTTAAATTTTTTTGTTTTGGTTAAATAAAAATCCTTCATTTGATTACTGAATCAGAATTCACTTTGATTTCTATTTTATGTATTAATACAGTCCCCCCCCCAATTATGTGCAAGCTATTGGAATTTCTGCACTAAAGGCTAAGTAAAGGGGGGATATATGGGTAAGCTTTCTCAATGACTTTGACTTTGGTATTAAGTCATTATAAGAAAATAATCAGAACAAGATTCTGTTGATAATATGTAATTCTTTATGTAGTGACCATCACGTACTTCACTGTTATTTTACAATAAGCTATTAAACTGTTTCATGATTCAGGTAATGCAGTACAAAGTTTTTGTGCTTCAAGTAATACAAAATATAAAAACATGTTTAATGATGAATTACTTGAATGTGTATTGCCTGTAATTTAGAAAAATTTGGATTGCCTTGAGAAGATACGGTTTTTTAGTTCTGATTTTGAACCTTATCTTTTCCAAATTCCAAGTACATTTCAATACCTTCTGTTATGCCTGGTGTTATGCTAGGTGGTGGTTTATATTTTGGCTTATCCCCCCCCCCCTTTTAAAGATGGCCAGATGTAATAAAAAAGCATGGCATTTATAACAAAGTTTTCTAAATAAATTGTTTATCCCACTAAATGTGAAATGCTTGTATAAATTAAACTAACTTGCTGGGATTTAACAAGGTTAAAATTCAGACAAAATTGAGTAAGATCCTTTTCTCTCCGTATTTGAGAGATCCTATAGCAGTTGTTAGTAGATAACCAGGAAGCTCTGGAAATAAGCTGTTTCAGCATATTCTGAGACAACTTGCTTAATGTAAAATATTTTGCCAAAATAAATTATTTAAGCTCAAAACCTGGATAAATTATATAATAACCTAGGTTAACACTCAGAAGCCTTAGAGTTTTTTTTTCTTTCTGATTCTAATACAAGACAAATAACTTAATCTGTCTCACCTTCGGTGACTGTCTACTGCTCATATTCTATTAGTACATTTTCCTATAAATTTATTGCCTACACTCTTGGTCAGGACAGTCTATTTTATATCATACATATATAAAAATATGGTGAATGTTAAATACTTTTTATTATAGTAAAAGACATTGCCATTAATCCCTCTCAAATCCCCCCCACACACTTAAAACACACTTACCCCACTGTTCTTTGCACTCTCTGAAGCAGTTCTGGAAGTCCTTTTGTGAGCATCCTTACGAGGTGTGATTAAAAAAAAAAATAAGGCCATCCAATGGATAAGTGGCCTAATAAAAACATTATTGTGTATCCTCATCTACCTTACTCACTGGATCTGGCCCTGTGCAACTTCTGGCTCTTCCTCAGTGTAAAAATAACAATGAAAAGTAAATATCTTGAGTTGATTCAAGACATCAAGGTAGCCGTGACAGCATATGCACACACCCAACTGTCACTGTATCCATTTGACATTCAATAAAATACATCAAATGCAGAAATCAATATTAAATATATCTTGAGATCACATGGCTTCACGTGTATATTCAAACGCCAGCACTATTAACCAACCCCCCATGAGTCTGTCACTACTGAAAGGAACAAGGAAAATTGCCATTTTTCACCTCCCTGGCTCCTGTGTAGGCAAAACCATCATAGATTTAGACCATTTTACGTGAGATGAGATGAGAGATTTTCCCGGTTACTGCAATACTCCAAAGCTTTCCGTGTTTCCAGCAGAGAAGAAATAGGCGACCACTGCTGTGCTGGGAAATAGGAGAAAGCAAAACTTCGTTGCCTTTACTTTAGTTGGGGGACCCTTAACAACCTTAGAGTTATTGTCACCACTTAAATCTGTAAAAACCAAGCTAATGGATTAGTAATTAAGTTCTCAGCACCACACTACGCCCCTACCCTGAGATCAGACTAAAGTAGCATACTGTGGCTTGATTAGATTGGAAACACTACTAGCAATTCAGAAATTTGTTTCCACTGGGTCTTCAAATTCTGCAGTATAGAAGCCTTACAGGGCTCTAGGGCGTGGGTCGGTTGCCCGGGAGAAAGCTTTTGGCTCCGCCCCCTCAGGCTTAGCTTCCGGGGCGGAAGGAACGGCCACGTCATCTTCGGGCTGTGCTCGCCACCCTAGCAGTGGATGGTGGGAGGCAAGATGGCGGCGGCAGCTAGTATTCGGGAGAGGCAGACAGGTACTGGCTTACTTCTCTGTGCACTTTCGTTCTGCTCAGCGACAGGCTTTTCCTCTACTCGTCGCTGTCACTTGGTCGTGGTGCGTGCAGTTCAGAGACCGACCTCTAGGAGTTTAGTGACCTAGAGCATCAGGAACCCCTCCCCTTTTAGTTTTTGTGAAAGAGATGCCCTAAGCTTCAGGACTCGGCCCCGCTCTTGTAGTGGAAGAAAATGGGCTTCAGGGATGGGCTTTTGCAGTGGTCCAACCTAGATTACTGAGCCTTAGAAGGCCATCTTCACAAGATCTGGCAGCTGGTATGTTCTTCCTTGTGTTGCCACTTAAGAGGTCTCTAGATTTGTTTCTGTTTGTATTTCACATCTCCGAGTTTTTAATTTTCACCTTTCCCAGCGTTAATATTTAAAGAACTCTGTTTTCTGGAATTTACACCATAGTAACGAAATTTAGATGGCATTTTTCATAGTGCCTTATTTTGTGCCATCTCATTTGCACCAGTCTTTTGGGGAAACCCGAAGAAAAATGCCTAAGGATGAAGATTTTTTTCCCTCAGTTTGCTGGAGGGAAATGGAGAGTGGCAGAACGAATTAATGACTTACCCATTTCAGTTGTTTGAAAGATTAGTGTTTTAGGACAGTTCATAGTTTTGTCTTCAATAGAACATGTTTATATAGGTTCCATTTCTGCAGCGAAATGTAAAGATAAATATTTCATTCTTTCAGTTTTGATATTTTCTACATCTTAGATTTTTTTCAATTTTACCATATTCTCTGTAAACTTCAGATGTCTTGTTTATACCTATTAGCTAATTGTCTTATGAATCTTTCCTGTGGAGCCAGTGGAAATAAACCATCAACATTTTTTATATTTGGAAATTCTGTCTCCTGAAATTATCCTCTTTTTGCATGGAAAATAATTAGTTACAATTAATATGGCCTTCAGCTTTACCTGATTTTGGCTGTACCTGATTGTTTTCCTTCTCATTTGAAAAAAAAAAAAGATGATGGATTTCAGTCAAGTAATGACACACAAAGCCTATATGTTTTGCTTTTCTCAGTAGATAATTTAATATAGCCTTTTAGATGAAGTCAAGCATAACTTAAATATGGGAAAGTCCCTGTAAGGTTTGGGGGATACTTGGCATGCATGGTATTTGTAAGCGGAGGTAGTCCTGCTTGTCTTTAGTAGTATAGACCTGCTTGTCTTAGTAGTGTGGTTCTGATAGGTTAAACAAAATGAATTAGATCTTACTATATATTAAATAGCATGTCAATGAAATGTACCAAAAAGTTGAAAAAAGTTAAATTTGTATGTTAATACATTTTTATATGCAGAAACTTTGTAGAGTGTTAAAACCTATTTTTTATTTCTGTGGAAATAAATTTCATTACAGCAAAATTTTACATCATTATTAGATAGCTGATGCAGGATCAATTATTTATCAAATTAGTACCATCACTATATTTTGTCTTATTTTCAGAGGAGAGTAAATCCTTTTATATGTGTTATAGTTGCAAAAGTAAACATTTCCCTGATGTTTGGGAAATAACTCTCAACCCTCAAATATTCTAGATAGAAGACACTTTGATATAAAAGAATTTTCACTCAGTTGGGGTAGATGAGATAATAGTTGATATTCATTGAGCATTTGTTGCCAGGCATTGTTTTAAGTGGTTCTGTAAGCCTTATTATCTCTGCTTTACAGATGAGGAAATTAAGACACAAAGTGATTAACTGGCATGCGTGTTTTTGGTTTGTCTCAAAAATCTTTATTAATCTTTTATAAAATTCACCCCAGATGCCATCTTCTTATGAAAGTTGTGTGGATTCCTCCCCTCTCTATCCTTGCGTTCAATTCAGTAGGAGGAGTAATTTGCCTCCTCTGTGTGGCTATTGCACTCTTGCTCTTGTTCCCTGCCTCTCAACATTGCAGAACCCCAAACTAACTGCTTTTCTCCTGTCATTATCTCATCTACCCTCCTTATGTGTTAGAGATGCTGATGATTCCCAGGTTTATATTGTTAGTTTGGACCACTCTTCTGAACTCAGCCCTCCTCACGTCATATATTGGCAACTTCATCCTTTTAGTTGCTCAGGTCAGAAATCTTGTAATGTTCTTGATTTCTTTTTTATGATTCATGTCAAATCTGTCTGCAAATGTCAGTTCTATTCTAAACATGTATCCAGTACATAACTATTGAAATTGCTATCACCCAGGTCCAGTCCACCTTGGGTTTCTGCAATAACCTATTTGTCTCTTTGCTTTTACAACCCCCCTCATTCTTTTATCCATACCAAAACTGATATGCCGTACACTGGCTCAAAACTTTTCAGTAGTTTCTCGATTCAGTCATGGTAAAGGCAAAGTGATCTTACCTTGGCCTACTAGGTCCTGTGTGATCTTAACTCCATCCATTTACCTTTCTGATCCCACTCCCCATTTTTCTCCCCTTTCCTTGGATACACCAGGAATGTTTCCACCTCAGAGCCTCTTATGTTTGTTTCCTTTTATTGGACTCTTCTTCCACAGATGGACTCACTTCCTGACATTTTTTAAGCCTTAAATGTTTATTTCTGAGGAGGCCTTCCTTGATCCTTGAAGTTTTTTCTGCCTTCTCAATCATGTTTTCTCTGTAGCACTTACCATGATCTCACTTACCTTGTTTTACTCATTTTTTAAATTGTATTTGTTGCCTAGCTAAAATGAAAGCTACTTAAGGACAGGTAATTTTATATTTGATCTAATTTGTTCATTGCTGGATCCCCAAAAGCTAGAGTAGGATCAGGCACATGGTGACCACTCACTGAACATTTGCTGAATGAATGAATAGTAAATATAGATGGCAGTATTTATTCAGTGAGTGAGAAAACATTGTAGATAAGAGTGAAACTACATTAACTAAGATAAGAATATGGATAGTACATTCAGACCCAATAAAAAATTTTATCATTTCAGTTAAAAGCAGTAAGCCTTGGGGAGTTAAACCCTGTCAACATAAAATCACATTCTTATACACCGTTTGAACATAGGCCATATACTTCAGTAACAAATCCACAGGATCAGAATATATCTGAAAAAGTTAAGCAAGCTCAGGAGTTGGAGAAATTTCCCAAACAGGCGAATGTGAGATTTTTGTCTATCTGCTGGCACTGCCTCTTTCACTTAATTAAGGACTAACTGTAGAAAACATACAAAACCTGAAACTCAGGTGGCAACCCAGGCTGTAGTTCTTCCCAGCTGTCATGTTTCAAGAGGGTAAATAACTTTTCCTAAAAACCAGGTTTTCTCTCTTTGGGGCTTAGATGCCAGATTGATGGTGTCTTTATTGCCTAGAGGTGGGAGGAAGAGGTCTGCTAATGCACAGAATGTTGCCCTTTGTGGCTCCTGTATTGTTTTAGTTATAGGCACTGAAGTGTTCTCTATTTATGCATATTTTTCATCTGTGAGTCTTTAATAAGACCTGATCTAATTGCTTTTAAAAATTAACCAAATAGATTACAAGGTTGCTAGTCTTAAAAATTATATCACCTCAGTGATGGCGAACCTTAAAAGGTTCAATGAGCTTTCAATGAAAACAGCTGGCTGCAGCACATGTGCCATGGAGCCACCACCACTGACCTAACTAGTACACTGTCTTGAATATTTGGTCATTTCAGTTTCACATAGAGTGACATTAAGAGATTATCATTTTCCTTAGAAAATGTTGAGTCTACTGTGACATGTGAACAGATGAGCAATAAAAAGTGCAAAAATGCTGTTATTATAGGTTATAATTACTGTGACTTTTGAAATTGCCTATTAGTTGGAATTATCAGTCAACTTATATCTATAGGAAAATATTTTTCCTCGGGAACAGTATTTTCAGCCATATAAGTTTTAAATCTGATAAGATAAATTAGTTGTAAAATATTCTCTTAGATAACTAAAAAGTAGACCTACTGTATGAAGATTGTGCGCATGTTCCAATTAAATATGCCATAGATGATTTTTGTTTATAGAAAGACTCGTTTTAATCTGTGCTTTCAGTCAGGCAATAAGTAGACCAATTACTACCAAGGCCATTGCAAGACCATGATTGAAGAAATTTTTCTTTTTGCAACTATATAAAATGTAGTGCAAAATTATTAGGACAAATGAAAAAACACTTTTACCTGAATGTTTTCTACAGTTTTATCTGGGACAGATGCCCCTATGTTTTTGACAGTTTCCCAAACACTTACCAGTTAGCTATTGATGGAATGTTTTCACAAGGTCTGACCCCATGTTCTATACGACCAGTTTTTTTATTAATCAGTTTTGCTAGAGTTGATATGTACATTTTATCTTTAGGTAGTAAATAATATGGAGGGAAAATGAAATCCTAAGAAAACATGTTTGACAAAGCTTTTTTTAATGTTTGACAAAGCTTTTTATTTTCAGTTGCTTTGAAGCGTATGTTGAATTTCAATGTGCCTCATGTTAAAAACAGCACAGGAGAACCAGTATGGAAGGTAAGAGCTTTTCTTAATGGGAATTACTTCCTGTGTCTCAGCCTTTATTGATGATATTGATGGTAATTGGAGGGAATTTTTGTTAATACTGAACTAGTTCTGTAGTACATTTTAGTTATAATTCATGGATATTTTATTTTTACTTAAAATAGCATCTTAATATGAATTATTTTGATAAACATTTTATGAAATAAACAAGACAATAAAATAGTAAATATTCATCTAGTGCATCCAGTGATCTCTTGGGTGGGATCTCACAGATAGGTCTTTACCTGATTAATGTTTTGTTCCTTAGCTTTGCAAGTCCAGACTTTGGATCTCATAAGCTTTCTCAGGGTTAGATAGATTCACTGAGTTGATCCATTCTAACCAACTCAATGGACAGTGACCTGTAAACTACAATGACAGTTTATTAATTTATGAGATATAAAACTATTATTAAAACTGTTCATGAACCAAAAAGCAATCTAGTCTTTCCCTTTTGAGAAATGCTGTAGAGCTTTTATAATTCCTATTCTTTGGGCTTCTTCATTTGAAAATTTATGCTGACTCAGCTTCCCTTTCTTCAGAGAGATAATAATACAATTGATTACATTTAAACTTATTAGTTTATAAGCAATTTATATTGAACTCTTGAGAAAAACTAAAAACATGTCAACTTCATTGAAATTTTGAGTGTTTTGAAAACTTTTAGGAGTATAAGTTTTGAGTTAGATTTTGAGATGGCTGAATTGTCTCTATTGAATTTATAGTTACAGTCTCAGTGTCCCCTAATGTTTTCTTTTTCTATTTTTTGTGGACATTTTCTTAGTGCTCCTTGTATAAACCAATTTGTTTTGAAGGCTTATGTTGAGCTTTAGAATTAAATAGCTAGAGAATATCTTGGGTACCCATTTGTGTCAAATATTTTCCCTACCCATCACTTTTATATCACAAGATGAATAATAAGGGGGTGCAATAGCAGCCCCCTTCCAATGTCTGCAGGGCATACATTCTAAGATACATTTTTTTGTGTGTTTTTGTTTTAAAGTGAACTCCTTTGTTAGTCTTTTTTTTTTGGCGGGGGGGGGGGG